CTTCTATAGTAATATATATATAGTAATAACAGCAAGTCAGCACATTTGAACAGATGTGACAGAATCAATCTGTGTGTCATATACAGACTTTCTTTGTGTTTCCTCCAATGATTCATTTATTATAAATACAGGGTCATATAATTGATATCTACTTGAAGTATATTATACTTAATGACATTCATTATTTTAACATGTACATATAGTACTGATAATATTACTGTATTTTGCTTTATTCAGTTAAAAAAAAATCCCCAGTGAAATTTACGAAAAAACCCACAAATATACAATTTTTTCTTTTGGCTTTGATCACTTCTGCCTTTTTTCCCCTGGGTCTACAAATGTAGTCTTACATGTATGCTGCCATATAAAAAATACTACATGTACTGGTTTGAATGATATTGAACATAACATAGTCTAACTAGACTCTATGCATAATTGCTACACACTATACCAATTTAGTTTGGCAAGTTTTCCTTGTGATAATACACCTTTTTAGAAATAAACCCATTTCATTCCAGACATTAATTAAGTGAAGTACTGGTGAATAAACTGTGAGAACATGACTTGCAGCGAGGTTCATTAATAATTATTGATTTTGGCAAAGAACAAAGTGAATTTGTTTTATTTAATTAACACTAATTAAATATTTAAACATTTACACAGTGATAAAAATGATGGTGATATAAACACTGCTATATTTTTTTTTTTATTATTCATTTACATTGTTTTTTATTTGTTACATGTACATGCATTTACAGTTTTTATAAATTATGTTCATGAACATAAAAGAACATGTAAGAATACCCATTTGACATAGTTCAATTTGTTTAAAAATTATTTGGTCAAGTAAAGAATTTTTCTGACTAGAATGATGTTTCACCTTGTGTGGGTCTAACCAGGGGAATTTCTACTAATCGGCAAGGAAATTATTGTTACTTTTATTGAACACTGCAATTCTGTCCTGTTGCAGCAGCTGGTCCATGTCAATTACTCTGAACATGGACTTCAACCTTGAAGTCTATTGTATATACATACAAATTCCACTATTAATGCACCTGGTGTCGGAATGGAAACTGAATACACTCAGTGATTTAACTTCAATAATGCAACAATGGAGTACAATGTAAGAACATGTGGTCTCTATGTGTCAGTGCACAATACATGCTCCTACTAAAGATCTAAACTTCAGGCCAAAAATAATTTTTAAATTGATGTTGCCTACTTACCCAAAAAGTTTTATGACACAAATCGGTTCAAATTTTTATGCCCCTGCTGTAATGTACATCCCAATTTGGTTTCTGTTCTCTAACTTAAGTTTGCCTCAACCAAATGCTATGAAACTTATACACAATGATTATTACCACAAAACACAGATCAAGTTTGAAATTGGGTGGCGTCACTTTTACCTTTCTAGAGTTATGCCCCTTTACAAATGGAAAAATTGCTGAATTTTTCGTTTCCGTTCTCTAACTTTAGTTTGCCTCAACCAAATGTTATAAAACTTATACATAATGCTTATTACCAGAGAACTCAGATCAAGTATGAATTTGGGTAGCATCACTTTTACCATTCTTGAGTTAGATCCCTTTATAATGTTATATGCAAGTGGGGGCATCATCTGTGTCCCATGGACACATTCTCATTTATTTTTTTAAAGATTTTTTCCTAATCTAACGTTTTCTTGTATAAAACATGTAACTTATGTTGTTTGCCAAAAAAAAAAATCCCTACCTACCTACCCAACCCTACAAGGCATGGGTAGGCAACATCAAACAAAAAATTTGTGAAGGGTGTCCTCAATTTTGAACTACTGTGGATTCATTTAATTTTTGTGGATACAAATTTTCATGGTTTTTACCAAAGTCTGTATACAAATCTCTGGTAAATATTTACTTGGTTGAAGATTTGAACTGATGGTTTACCTGTAACCACGAAATCCATGGAAATAGGTATCCCACAAATAATAATGAATCCACAGTAACTGATGTTTATTTTACTGTTTCATTTGTGATACTTTTATAAACATAGTAGCTTCAAGTACTCTCTGATCTGTACTTAGTGTCTTTTTTGTTTTGTACATAAATCAGGCTGTTAGTTTTCTATTGAATTGTTTCACATTTGTCACCTTTTATAGCTTACTATGCAGTATGAGTTTTGCTCATTGTTGAAGGCCGTACAGGGACCTATAGTTGTTAACTTCTATGTCATTTGGTCTCTGGTGGAGAGTTGTCTCATTGGCAATCATACCACATCTTCTTATTTTTATAACCATCAATGTAATATTAATTAATTAATGATCACACTATATTGTCAATTCTTATAAAAAAATAATCCAAAGTCTATGCATCACTCGTAGCCCAACAAGTTAACCATTTGAATGTATCACTTATAATTTGTCATACATATAAGAAGAAAATATGAAATACTTGTATTACAAATCTAAGATAAAAATTTGAAAAAGTAAGGTTACTTCAATCTAATGTCAAAATACAATGTATAATCAAAATTCATTTCTTTGTTTTTAACATAACTTGGCGTGTTTTATGTTCAGTGTGTGTGAAATGAATTCTTTCCATTAGGTTTGCCAGGTTGTTAGTTAACCAGTAAAATAAAGAATGGATTTTGTCTTAGTTATATACATTCAATTAATTAACTTTTGTGTACCTCATAAATTATGATGCACATGTATGTAATTGGTAATTATTTTCTGTTACTGCAATGTCATTAAGTCCAAGTGAATTATAAATTTTACTGGATAGTTTTAGTTGTGTTTTATGTTAGGCTATAAATTATAGTATAAACAATGCCTAGACTAGGTGGTGCAATTAATAGTAATCCTCTGTAAGTCACAACTGTAAAATTCAATCTATAACCCATTTGTAATAATTTGATGTCTTTCTAAATTTGTCTAGATTGTTAAAACTTCATTGTCAGTTATTGATTCTGTGACAAACTACATCCAAACATGGTGATTAAAGTTTTAGTACACAGATCATCACGGCAATCTGTTTATACTGTGTGGTTTTTGTCAATAGATGTAGGTATTCCTATAAACAATAATTAGGCTTACAAGAAATAGAAATATAACTGATTAAAATCTACTTTGTAATCAGGAATAACAAACACAATCTAAACAATCAATTTTCATATATGCTGGCTATATTTTTTTTTAGATAATCTGTCAAGTGCATGCATCTGATCCAAGTATTTTCAGGCAATTTTAATATTATTAAAACCAGATCTTCTTCCAGTTATGCCAAAAAAATATACAAAAAAAACCTAGTTCCAATGATCAGCAGTAATAACAGGAGACCAGTAAGGTACCTATATTGGTAATTTGAACACACCTCTAATTTTTCTCTCTGCTCTAAGATTTGACTAATGAATTTAATGAATGAGAGAACTGGTTATAATCTGATTGGAAAAAGTAGTTAATCATTCACACCATAAACTAATTCATATAGATTTTGCTTCTCTGACTGTTCATGGTGGGTAGCCTGCTTATGTCTACTTAAATTTTTTTTCTCACTCATTTTGTAGAATGCAACACTAATGTGCTTACATATGTATCAATTGATTGTTCTTCTTTAGGTTTATTTGTAAGACATGTCTCTAAATAGGATAAAAATAGGCAGAGAGGAAAGTTGGATTTTTTTTAAATGCTCTGTTTATATAGAGGCCCTTTTTGGTTTTGCTGCTGTGATATATAACATATCGAGCATAACTGATGAGAGTTATTCTAGTCATACATTTTATATACATGTACACTAGGACTTAGGTGATTTGACGAGAGATTTTTTATAGAACATGTGTCTGTGATTTGCACATTGGTAAAAGATCAAAAAGTTATGAAGATACATTTCTCTAATTCTTCGTCAATTTATCCCTTTCTGCACCCATTGTATAAAAAAAATTTAATCAACGTGTGGTTCGTTTGATCTCAGTTCTTCATTGGTTAAAATCCGATTATGACGTCAGATTTTCTTGCTTTCCTCTGAATTTCCTATTGTGACGGCATGAAAAAGGCGACCATGCCTGATGACGTCACATAGAAAGAACACATCTTTTTGCAGATCATTCAAAGAGAAGGAATAAGTTTGCCTGCATATTGTTTGAAAATCATTAGAGAAACAGATTCCACCACCAAATCTCGTGTAATACGATATTTATCCACTCTCGACAGTTAAATTTTAAATATTTAACTGTCTCGAGTGGATAAATATCGTATCACACTCGATGCAGTGGTAGAATCTATATCTATCGATCTCATTATCTGGAATTATCCATGTCTCATTATACATAGGAAACTTAGTTTGCGAAATTCAATGCACTTGAATACTAGTGAAATCTGTTGATATTTTGAGCCCCCCACCAAAAAAATAAGTAATAACCACAAGACTCTTCAGACTATGAAGGTCGGGCAAACCATGAAGAATATGATAACAGTAGTTGGTGAACATCCACTGTATAGGTACCTTTACATACTAGATAAGCCTGACTCACATATATTACAAATTTAAGGTGGTACCAAACACCTTGACTAAAATTAATTTGGCTCGTTTAATTTTCATAAAATTTTGACAAATTATTTACTTTGACCCTTTGAAAAGAATATAAAAATTTCAAAAAACTTGAACCACACTCTTTATCGGAAAAATTTCATTGCATATACAGCAGTTTGATAATCACTAATTTTGATCATTGAGAAGCTTAATATTTTCTTAACAATAGAATGGGATTAAAACATTCAGCTGATGTTTACAGAGTTACCTCCCTGTAGTATTATGAACCACCTTAATTGCAAAAATTGTGGTCTTCTTTTATTGAGCTTTCTTTGATCAGACAAGAACCAATTATACAATAAATCAAATAATATAGACTTTTTGTAAGAAAATGTTCTTAATAAAAGTACAGGTATATATAGATGAAATTGCATACAAAAGTTTCATAAGAAGTTGAATTTTGATGATATGCTTTATAAATGTTTTTATTTCTTTCAGACAAGAAACCTCCTGAGAGTGTTTGAAAATGATGCCTTTGCATTGAAAAAGTATACATTGGGATTACATAATTGTTGTCAAAGAATTATGAAAGCACAGGTAATGTCATACGTTTGAAATTCATTTATTAAGATTTCTCAAAATCGATTTTGTGTATGATACAGATACTTGTTTTAAAAGTTTCAACAAATATGCATTTATTTGATCCTTTATGAAACCGCAGGTAATGTATTTGTTTAAAATACATTTATTAAGTTAAGATTTCTCAAAGTTGATTTTGTGTATGATGATAAAGTTACTTGTTTTAAAGTACAGGTAATGTCATATGTTTGAAATTCATTTATTAAGATTTCTCAAAATTGATTTTGTGTATGATACAGATACTTGTTTTAAAGTTTCAACAAATATGCAACAATGTGATCCTTTATGAAAGCGCAGGTAATGTATTTGTTTACAATGTAAAATACATTTAAGATTTCTCAAAGTTGATTTTGTGTATGATGATAAATTTACTTGTTTTAAAGTTTCAACAAAAATGAAACTATGAAGACAATGAAGTTTAAAGTTTTATAGCACAGTGTAGCAAGGTTAAACCCTTGTCTTGCTTTTTTTAAAAGGTCCTGTAAAACCAGGGATTAAAATATCAATTTTATTTCAAAATGCTTTTGCCAAGTCAGGAAAAATGATGAGTTTTTTGTATGATTCTTTTATCTGTCATCAGTAAAAATGCTTTGCCAATAGTGCGTTATTTGGATATTTTGACAAAATAATCAAAGTACTGAAGTACTGAACATCGGATGACCGCAGGTTCTTGTGGATGGTCAAAAGCACATGTCACAGAAACAGATCACATCTCTATACCTGAAACTGAGGTTAATTTACAGAGATTTTTTTTTCTTATACAAGTTCGTGCTTGGATGATGAATAAATCAGCTTACTAAAAATATTTTCATAATGTTACTTTGACGTCATTTCTTAAAACTAAGTCCCAAACATAATTGCTCAGTTGACTTGTGTCATCCTCATGCGATACGAGATAACTATAATTCTGATGCAATCCCGAAAAGGGGGGTCATCACAAACAAACATGACATTAAATTGTCATTATACGAACTAGAACAAACAGCTCTATGTTGCTTTGATATTTATCAATTTCAGGAAACATGTGAAATAAATTTCAGGTCCATTTCATTATAGTGCCTAACAAGATTGTGTGAGGTAGACGAAATTGACCTTAAAACGATCGTATTGTCTTTTGATGTCCAAAAATAGGCAGATCGGACATATAAGGACTTTATCTAATGACTACATAAATTTGGGATTTATTATTATTATAATATTCTAATGAAACTGAAAATTGTATTTTTTTTTTAAGATAAACAACAATTTTACCTGGCGTAGCCGTGCATAAATGTTATTCTGCATTTATCTTCGAAAAATGGCATATTTAATGGAATAGAATGTTAATACAGTAAACTTTCTCTTTTTTCTCCGCAATAGGCTATCAAAAATAATTTATCTAATGTGTATGTGGAAAATTATGTGAAAAGATAAAAAGTGGCAATTGTTACCTTTCATACCTTAAGTTTCATTCATCTGATTCTGACCAATGCTTATATACTAAATATCTATTTATATGCGCTATTATTGTTGTTGTTACCAATAATGTAAATCAATTGTATCTGATTTTATGCCCTTTATGGGCCCTGTAATTTGGGAAATAAAAAAAAAAATCTATTCATTGATAAAACATAATATGGACTGGTCCAGTGTCCAGTTTGCAGGTCATTTAATTTTCTGTACACATTCATGCACGCTCTGATTTAATCAATATACTCGTACGAAAAAGCATGAACAGTTTGAAGGTAATCTAATAATAACTTAATCCAATCAAATTGCATAAGATTCAATAACAATGTCAAGTCCACATCATAATGAGTAATAGCTATAGAGGTAAACTGGGTAGGGAGAAAATGACAGATATTTCAAGTTAATATTTATGCAATAACGAATTAAAATTTGTCAACCAAAAGTTTTGCTACAATTTCAAAAACATGTCGTTCTGTATGGGTATAGTTTTCGGATCTTTCATTAGCGTATTTAAGGCTATAAAAAGTTTGGGCTTCAAAAGTTCACACAATTATTGACTTTATACAGAAAATTCGTCCTTGTAAAACATTTAATAGTTCACAAATGATACGCTATTTTAAAGTAAAATTATTTCTTAAAACACTGAAAAAATTTCATTCATATTGATAAAGTGGTATCGTCATAAAGTGCGTTGAAATGAACAGTGGTATAGCAAACATCGAATTCCCTCACAAAATGTTATCACACACTACAGTAAGGGGAGTCAGTTAAGTTTGTCTATTTTTAGATACTATACAGGTAATCATTTGACACTACGTATACAACCTGTGTGACCTGTGTAGTGATTTTGATTTTACGATAAATTCATGAATGAACGATAATTTTATGAATGAACATGAGCACCTGACCTCTTTCTTAAACACCTATTAAACATATAAAACCGTATTTAATAAGGAGATAATTCAGTCAAATTTTCAGTACTAAATCAACAACTGAAATGATTCCATTTTTTGATGAAACATCGTACGAACGGAGAACGGAATCGCAGGTATAAAAATCCACTTTTTTCCCTTGTAATGACCGCGGATCTATAATTTTTATAGATCGGTTGAAGTCCCAAAACTAATTTGCATAATGGAAATTTAGGCGATAGCAATACATCGGAATGACCTCAAGGTCATCCTCTGTAAAAATGGTGTGGTGTATTTGTACGTTAGTTTTTTGTTGGACTTTTCTGAATACACAGGCAAACAATTCTTGAAAAAAAAACAGGATGTTAACAGATTTTAAAAATAATGATAAAAATAACTTTAATAAAACAAAAAACCTATTTATCTTATTCTTTGCTAAATTCTGTTTTTTTTTTGTTTTTTTTTTGTGGTTGATGTTCTGTACATGAAAAAAAACCAGGAAAAGTTGCCCAAGTAATGACATGAATAAAAGGTAAACCAAACTCTACCAGGTGATTCTTCAACTGAACATAATTTCATGTAGAAATATAGAAATATCACCCTTTTATATCCTGATTGAAAAATCAACAAACATCCTTTTTTCATATAGTGAAAAGTTTTTGCCTTTGTCTTTTTACAATAACTTATAAACTCCTTTCATTTTTACTTGAAATCTGATTATCATGTAAAAGCTCCATTAAATATACATTTAGTGATTCATAATAAACATGATCATTTAGTCTGTTTACAGATATGTGAGTCAAAGAAAGTAGACAATGTAAATTCATAAAAGTTTAAAAAAATATTTAAATCTATTTGATCTTTGGAAATGTTTTATTTATTATAAATCAGTACACAACAGTTAATAATGTGTAATTATTGACCCTATGTCAAATTTACTTTGAATTGACATATTAAATATGATTGAAATGAGTACATAAGCATATATATGAATAAAAGGAGATATGGGGTGTAAGTCAATTAGACAGCAACCACATGACACATATACATGTATTAAAAAAGAAACAATAGAGAGCTAGAAGTCAACTTACAGTCTTACTTTTTATTCTGCTTAAATATACCTACTAGCCTTTTAAAACCCTTTGTCTAGATTTGCTGGAGGAAAAACTGAAGAATTGTATATACATGGGATAAAAGTTCCTTAAATTTGTCATGTCATAAAGATTACTTATTTATGAACAATGTAAACTTCAGAAATTAAGAATTTTTAATGTTAGATATATTTAAAAATTTACTATTTTTCAGAATGAATTATGTGCAGCAACACAAGCATTGTCTCAGCAACTTAGAGATTATGAAATACAGGTATAAGATTTACACACTTTAGAATGATAACTTGTTAAAAGAATAAAAAAAAAAAGTGATAAAAATGGAAAATACAATTCTAGTAGTTCTAGGGAGTAAAAATATTTTCTTGGATTAACATTGTAGAGGTCGAATTGTGAAAAAACAAAATTTCATTAAAAGATTGATCCTTATTTGCTTAACATCCATTGGCAAATTTGAAACATAGTTAAAAATTGCCCCAAGAATAAGCTAGATAAGTACTGCTTTACCATTTTTAGATAATGTTTATTTACAACAAAATTGAAGACTACTTTCTTTAACTTGGTACCTTCAGTATGTCCTAAGACAGTTAACCATTCACAAAGGTAGTAAGCTGAATTTTCTATGGTATCTGAGAATAAACAGAATTTTTTGTGCTTTTTACCCCAATAATTGTTACTGTTGTTTTGACATAGTATATTTATATTATTTCAGACTTTTCCATTAGAACCAGAAGACAGTATACTAACTACAACATTAAAACAGTTTTCTAGTTACTTAGATGATGTAAGTTATAGACAATCAAGTGTTAATTAATCATTACTGCTAATCAGTCTCTGATTGTGATAGAACAGACACAATCCTTTCAAAAAGGTCTACGTAAGCTCAACATCAGTTATATATGGTACATGCAACATGAAATCACATTCATGTGCTAGAATGTAGTCAATTGATTATATCACAAGCACAACATACTGTGTAAAATCTTGATTATATTTCACACAAACACACACTAGAGAAAGCAGCTCCATTTGAGAGCTGGAAGGTCACTAATATTCTTATATTACATATATGCAAACAAAAAATAGTTTAATTAAATGTATAAGTGGTTAAACCTCCCAATGCAGACATATCATATTGATCCTACCAAGCAGTGCTAGCATAAATTTTATCAATGTATGAATGAAAAAAATATTGTTTTATAGTAATGCTACCTATGGAAGAGCAATGCTTGCTAATTCCAATATAGTGACATCATTTACACCCAAGCAAGCATAGCATTTATCTCTGACTCACCTTGTGTTTACATTGCAACAAGGTTCTGATTTAAACATATTTTGCACCAAGCTAAATACAGTTTGAATTGTCGTTGTCGTCGGCGGCGTCCACAAATATTCACTCTGTGGTTAAAGTTTTTGAAATTTTAATAACTTTCTTAAACTATCCTGGATTTCTACCAAACTTGGACAGAAGCTTGTTTATGATCATAAGATAGTATCCAGAAGTAAATTTTGTAAAAATAAAATTACATTATTTCCGTATTTTACTTATAAATGGACTTAGTTTTTCTGCCGGGAAATATTACATTCACTCTGTGGTTAAAGTTTTTTAAATTTTAATAACTTTCTTATACTATTTTGGATTTGTACCAAACTTGGACAGAAGCTTGTTTATGATCAAATGCTAGTATCTAGAAGGAAATTTTGTTTTCTTCCAGTTAACATTACATTCAGTCTGCAGTTAAAGTTTTTAAACATTTATTAGATTCATAAACTATCCTGGATTTTTACCAAACTTGGACAGAAGCTTCTTACAATCAAAAAATAGTATCAAGTGGAATATTTTTATTGATTTACTTCCTCATATTTGTTGAGCCTGCGATTAACAGAAAAAGTAGGCGAGACACTGGGTTCCGCGGAACCCTTACGAATTTTTACTGTTTATTGAAGTAAAAAAAATTATAAAAAGTAAGATATATTTAAACTTTTATCTTTTGGCATGTTTCAGCTGATATAAATGAATTAATTTGATATGTTTTATTCATTTTTAACACTTATACCTACTAATTGAGTCCTTATAAGTTATGATATTGCATATTTTAGATATATATATATATATATATATATATAAAAATTGACAAATTAATTATTACAACATTTTTCAATCAAGATAATTTTTATTGAAAATGCATAATTTTTACAGGTACATAAAACTACAGGTAAATGAAGTTACAGGTGTCTTACGGTGTCTTCCTCCTATTCCCACTTTTTAAAAATCACTATTCCTTCTATTCCCACATGCAAATAACAATAGATGTTTTGATAAATAATTTGTTTTTATAACAATCAACGTTAATTAAAAATCATCCAAGATTTATCTGTATTTTTTAAAAGAAAACATATTTTTACTATTTAAGTATATTATTTAAAAAAAAAAATTAACACACTGTGTATTTGTAAAAGGTTTTTTTCTTCTTCAAAGAATTACCTTATAATAAAGAATAAGTCAGATAAACAGAAGTAATATACGATTAAAAAATCATTGAATTTATAAACCTAAAATTTTTTCATCTGAACACATAAATTGATGATAGATAATATAAAAACAAACTTTCCCATCTTGCAAGATTTCCATGTACATAAAACGCAAAACGAACCTACCAGTTTTACCCATTCTTGCTAACAGACGACAGCATAGTTTGGTGTGTAATAATCTTCAGAACTCAAAAGAATCTAACTCATTAGCAGTAGCAGATATCATATACTAGTATGGTAAATGTACATTTTACTCCTGTCCAAGGGTATTTTTCAAACTTTACACATTTCACGTAATGGTTGACGGCGCACTGTATCCATTCGTACACAGTTTACTTCCAGCCAAGAGCGAACTAGTATACACAAGATTCATGACTTACTCAAAGATGTATGCCACCAACACCAACTACAACTTCAGCCTACCACTATCTTCTTGGACTATGAAGTCGTCATCCGAAATGCAGCATATCCGTATCTTTAAACTCATAAAACTACTGAAACATGAGGAAGCTACGCCCTGACCATGATCCAGTATATGCAGCCGGTGGGAAGAGAGTAGCCCAAAAACGAAAGTATGTCGAAATCAACAACAGATTAGAAGAGATTACGGACAGATGCCCAGTGAGGAAGTCACAACAGTACAGTATGGTGATGCAGCCTTTCACCTATTTACGTTCAATAGATTAATAAAAATGCAGCCTCATAATTTGTGTTGTGAAAAAAATAAAATAATTTACTATATTTGTTTCCATTTCTTTCATATTTATCTAAATTAAAAACACAGAATTCATACACATACAAAATTTACCTATTACCTATCATAAAAAACACTGGTCAATTAAAAGTTGATTAAACAATGTTTATACAGTATAATCCTTTGTTTGTACAAGTTTTCCTCCTATTCCCACATGAAATTTTAACTTTTCTTACCAGATTTATAAAAAGTGGGAATAGGAGGAATGAACCTGTCTTACTACCTATCACCTGGCATTGCTAGGTGTGAAAATTTAACTACTATAAATACAACAGCCCCCAATAAATGATGACAAAACATAGTTGAAAGTAATAAAAGTGATATTTGAAGACTCACTTGAACAATAAAATATTTCCTATCTATTAAATGAGAGACAAAAATCATCATTATGCAGGAAACGGAAGGTATGAAGGACCGTTTTAAACAAAAAAAATAAATAATGTAGTATATATAAATTTTACCTTTACATAATCAATATTTACATGATTTACATACACATAGTACAACCATCTTGACCTTAAGCACCAAACTGAAACAAGAAGACCCTATTTGGAACTTCTAATAGAATCTATACAATATAAGACAACACCAAAACCAGTGCAAAATGTAATGATTGCAATGCTATAGTCAGTGCAAAAGCCACCTGATGAGTTTCCTTGCCAGGGACAAAACATTTTTATCTTGTGTACTAATAAATCATGGTAAATCACTGTTTATTAAGAATTTACAATAAAAATAGAAATGAGAACATTTGAAATGACTTTAACACTTTCATTATTTCATTACTATAAGTAATTGACCAATAGAGGGTGGTTTTTATAGTAATGTCCACTCAAAATTTCAATCGACCAGTATTTGCCAGTATTTCCCGGTATTTACCGGTATTTACCGCCGGCATGGTCAATACTAGTATTGACAGCTTTTTTGCCAACCTTGATTGTTAGTAGAAAATACCCTCCCTTAAAAAAAAACAAAACAAAAACCAAACCAAAAAACAACAAAAAGTAAAAAGATATAGAGAAATAATTAAAAAAAGATACATGCACATTTTAAAAATTATCATAAGTTCATAATCATTAGAAATATTTCGATACACACTGCTAATATGGATAGTTGTAGTCTATCTTGCAGTTGCCATAATTTAAGGTCTATAACATTGGGCAACAAATTGAATTTTTTAGAAACCAAGGAATGGAAATACAAATTGTAAGACATTAGTATTAATAGGTTTTAAATTAGTCTATATGTATAATATTTTCATTCTAGGTAAGCTCAATACAGCAAGTTTTATCAGCACAGTATTCAGAAACTATGATGTATCCTATGTCCAGATTTATTCAAGCAGATCTTGAAGGTAAGAATGAGAAAGCTATTAAAAATTTGAGTAATGCAGAATAGTAACTGATAGAACAGGAAACTGGGATTTCTGTATTTCAAAGTGTAAAACAGTATTAGATGAACATAGTCTGACTTTTGGTGAATATTTTTTCTGTAAGTCAAAGTTCTGGATACACTTTACAAAATGAAAAAAATGAGTTTTGCATCTGATTATTTCTGAGGGAGAAAAGAAAGTCTGAAATTTCGATGAAGTGATTTCTATTCATATATTCCAATGTCTATTCATTGGTTTTTTGGGTTTTGTTAATCTTGGTTTCAAACTGAACATATACACACATATCTAATGAGGAAAAAATATGCATTTTGTTGTGTATTGATGTTTATAGTTTTCATAATTTGATGGCCTTGAAAATCCAAAGCAATAAAATGCATTATAGTACCCTGAAAACTATGCAGGTACTCCAGTTCATAGAATATAAAATCAAACCAATATAGCCTCTTGACATAGCTGTATTCTTACATTCCACTGTGAAGTCACATCACTGTCAACAAACTTGCATCCATTTTAGCATATAAAACCACTCTTCACTTTACAGGCACTTAGAATTTTTCTGATATAATAAGTAAAGGAAATTTTGTAATAGTAGGCAATTGAATTGAATTAAGTTAAATGATACAAGTACTAAGATATTTATCAAAGTGTATACAAAGTAAATTTCAGTGAAATTTAAAGAATGCATTTAATGATTTTATCTTGAGGCTCCAATGTATGATGACTTTTTTTTTGTTTTTCAGAAGTATCAACCCTGTGTGAAATGTTTCAGATAGCAACAACTGGTGAGAAAGATTCATTATATTTATGTCCCCTTCACTGGGCTAAGGGGCATTAAGGTTTACCCTTGTCAGTACACCCCAAAATTGGTTTCTGTTCTCTAACTTAAGTTTGCCTCAACCAAATATTATGGAACTTCTACACAATGCTTATTACCACCAAGTACAGATCAAGTTCAAATTTAGGTGGCATCACTTTCAATGTCTTGAGTTATATCCCTTTATTGACTGTTGCATATTTATGTGGGCATCTGTGTCTCATGGACACATTCTTTTATCCTTTGTACATGTGTATGTAGCTCAGCTGTTAATTGAATGTATATAAATACTGCCAATAGCTAAGGCAATAATTGGAGAACTGTAGCATTTGATTTGTCTCCCTTGCATTGACTAGTGTTGTTCAAAATGTGACACACTTTTCAAATTATTTTCATTTGAATTATTTATAAATCTTTGATGATGAATTTTGTATAAATATATATTATATTCAAACCATTCACTTCACTTCACAATCACCTAGAATATTGATGTCTAGATGTCAATGTATTAGCACATTTATTTGTATTCATGCTGAACTGCATTTTCACAATAATGGATCATCGAAGGTTTTGAATGTTTTAAAGGATATTCATTAAAAACTTTTCTTTTTGAGAACTAATCAATCAGTTTTAAACCCAATATAACAGAAACATTCCTTATATACTGAAGGAGAATGTTACTTTGGTGATCTTCCAACTAACATGGCTGCCATTGATGCTTTTAATCTAATATTGCTTGGTACCCTTTAAGATGCTTGTAATTTCAACCTTGTCTGCAAGCATTTAAATCAGTTAGTTACAGGAAAGCATGTGCAAGGCAAGATGTAGAGTATATGCCTATGAAGTAGCAACCTAACAACACAAAAACCTAAAGACATCTAGAGGTCAACATATGGTCTTCAACATGAATGATCTCTATTAAGTATTTAGAACCATGATAGTTACATGTATTAGAATTTCCTTTGAATTTTTTTTTCAATTTTTTATGCCCCCGCCGTAGCGGAGGGGGCATTAAGTTTTACCCTAGTCCGTCTGTACGTATGTCCGTATCAACTACAATTATGGACAAAGGAAGATAACTCCAATTTTAAAAATTAATTTAAACAATTACATCAACTACAACCAATGTTTTATACAACGCAATGTTCACTGAAAAAATTAAAACAATCTTTACCCTTCCGTCCTTACAAGCACTTTGATTAATGTTCTTCAGTTTTGTCTCTTTATAACCTTATATGATATTTTGTTTCTGTTCTCTAACTTAAGTTTGTCTCAACTAAATTTAATGAAATGTATATATAATGCTTATTACCACTTAACTCAGTTAAAGTTCAAATTTTGGAAGCGTCACTTTTAGTTCTTGAGTTATGTCCCTTTATAATGTTATATGCTAGCGGGGTCATCATCTGTGTCCCTATGGACACATTCCCCATTTATTTGTAATAAAGTCGGGTAACTGTGAAAAGAAATCTTTGTATTTTCAACCTATTAAGTATTTACATTAAAACTGTTTTTTTCTTTGTAGAACATGAAAGTGCAATAAAGAATTATATGAAATTACCAAAAAAGAAAGAAAATGATAGACAACGAATGGAGTATAATGAAGAATTATATGGGATGAGAAAAAAGTTTCACCAGGTAAGAACAACTTCAATTTTTACAACAAATTATAGCAAACAATTTGCATAGGTTCTTAACATATTTGTTCTCATCTCAACAAAGCTGTGTAGGGTTTAATGTTTTTATACGACTGCACAATTTTTGCAGTCGTATGTTATGACATTGTTAGCATCATCATTGTTGTCCGAAAACTGTTGGTTTCCGGACAATAACTTGTGAATAAGTTTATGAATCTCTATGAAATTGAACCACAAGGTACCATACAAAAAAAGGAAGGTTGGGATTGAATTTGTAGGTTATGGGCCTAACTGTCTAGGAATTAGGGGCAAAAAAACAAGCAATTTTCTTGTTTCAGGACAATAACTTGAGTATAAGTCTATGGATCTCTATGAAATTTTTTCCACAAGGTACCATTCCAAAAAAGGAAGGTTAGGATTGAATTTTGGGGTTATGGTCCTAATCATGTAGGAAAAAGGGACCAAAAAACAATACTTTTCTAATAGTTTGTATAAATTGCTTATTTCTTGACCAATTTCAATGTGTTTTAATTCAAAGTCTTGAATTCTTGGGGTTCTTTAATCTGAATTTAACTGTGTATTTTAATTTTTAATTTTGGGGCCTGTTTTCAAATTCATCCACACTAAGGTCCAAAGGGTCTAAAATGAAACTTAGTTTGATTTTTACAAAAAATGAATTCAAGGGGTTCTTTATTTGCTGAATCTAAAAGATTTTGGATATTGAACCATAAAAGGTAAATGTCCAATTTGAAATTTTTAAGTTCTTAGACAACATTCACTATGTGTCAGATATCTATTCTGTGTCAAATATTTAATCACAATCCAAATTCAGAGCTGTATCAAGCTTGTATGTAGTGTCCATACTTGCCCCAACTGTTCAGGGTTCGACCTCTGTGGTCATATCAAGCTGTCCACGAAGCATTTTATTAACCTTCATCACTTTGCTGTATCCAGGATGGTGCCTCTATTGAAGAACCATGTAAATTTTTAAGAGGTGTGCTCTTCATCTTTACAAATGCTGTGATAAAAGTTTTTGTTCTAATGGGTACTTTTTATTTTAGAGTCTGAAAACAAATTTAAAGTCATCCAAAAACTTTAGTATCATTTTATGTTATCTTTAAAAAAATGCAAATGAATAAAATCTTTTAATGTAATAGAATTACCTTTTTGTTTAAAAATATTAGGTCCAATAAAGCCCTTGTCACACCTTTCCCCCTTTATTTATTTTCTGTTATCTTTTCCATTGATTAAAAGATGCTTTGTGTTCATGGATATATGATGCAAATTTAATGTCAATGGCTTTCCTATTTCAGTTCTTTATTTGTAATTGATTTGGAGTTTCCCATTGCAAAACATGAACTTTCTCATATTTATACTTATGAGAGTTTGAAATGATAATGAAATTATGAGATTTAACTCAGTTTTTCAATTTCAATGTGTTCTTCACCTGAACAAAAACTTAATGACCATCAAATATTTAGCAATCAACAATTAAGGAATGTTCTGTTTTGTTTTTACAGACAGGTCTACATTACTACTCTAGTTTAAATGCCTTACAGTACAAAAGAAAATGTTCCTTACTGGAGCCAATACTGGGATATATGCATGCACAACGAGCCTTCTTTCAGATGGGTCAGGATGCTGTGTGTAAAAAAGAAATAGAAGAATTCTTAAACAACATAAATGCTAGTGTACAAGGGTAAATATATTAAAACATGTTGAAACCAGACTTTAGAGGTGTAAACTGTTCCAATGATCTGCAGACTATAGCCTAACTGGAAGTAACCAGTAATATACATAATGACTGAAACTTACTTTGCTTTGCAGTGTACAGAAAGAACTACAGCAAGATACAAAGAAAACAGTAGATCTGATAGATACATTAGAACAACAAAGTGTGCAGCAATACCATGCTGAACCTAATCCTGAAATGCCATATATACCCCCAAATACTCAACTGGCACAAAAAGGGGGATACTTGTTCATACGCAGGTAAATACAAATATTTTTTTATTAAAAGCAGATATTTTGTTTTAATCAGACCTCTTAGAATAGAAAGCTAGAAGGAAGGGATATAAGGTTGACATGCTTTGATATTGCCATTTTATTTAAAGCACAGATAACTAATCATCAGTTAATCATACATGAGACAAAAATCCAGTAAAAATTTATTAATTAACAAATATCTGAAGAGAATGGCAATGTTTGCAATTTTTACTCATTTTATACAAAGTAGGATTTGATGCACTTAGAACCATAACTGTAATTGTCTCTGAAATTCTATTACCTTTATGTGGACAGCCAGACAATTTCTCCCAATACACATCTGTCATGAGAAAAGGGGTAGTGGCTTTAGATTGTGTTATGTATTTACAGATACATGATTTTAGAAAGACTATTTGTACTGTAACTCTTCCCTTTGGCCTGCCAGAATCTTTCTTTAAGTGCTTTCCAGCACTTTGATTGTTTATGGTTTATTTCCTTTTTTTTACTCATTGCATTATCTTCCATTTCAGATGATGCTATCTTAAGATAAGAAAACTTTAATAACTTTCAATAATCAAATTTAAATCTCATATGTGCATGTTCTTGATAGGTATTATTACTATGTGTAATGATATTGATAACAGTTTTTAACATGTTTACAGTAAACAGCTGATAGCCACCAGATGGGACAGGTGTTTTTTCTTCACCCAAGGTGGGAACCTAATGTGTCAACCAAAAGATGAAGTAAGAATGATTTGATTATTCCTTTTCTTTTTAGTGTGCTTCAGTTTATTGTTTCAATTATGTGTTGTGATTTTTTTATGCTTTTGTTTGTACTTTTGTTTTGTAGAATTGAAAATTTTAGATACCTGTACTATAAGATAGTTTAAAACCAAGTCAGATTTGAATATGACAGTCAGGCCTATCTGGTCTTCATGATATTTAAGTAGAATATAGCATTTAAAAAAAATTGTTTGATGGCACTGTTTATTATTAAATTTACAGACTTCATATGAATATTTCAAATTATAAACCATATTGTGCTGTTTAAATAAAAAGTAAAATTGACTAACATTTAAAGCTTGATATAGTGTATATATACACTTGGCCCTTTAATAATCTATATATTAACCTCTAGATGTGTAGATGTGATTGGCATTTTTGTGTTTTTGGATTGCTGTTTCATTGAGGCTTATCCCCTTACACCCCCTTGAAAATAATAAAAAGAAAAACTACCCACACATTTCTTTTTATATTAGTTTTGAAATTCTATTCATATGTGTGAAATGAATCTAGGATGATTGAATAATTAATTAAAACCCTACCATATGCCTTATATTATGAAGTTTTCGTCTGTTATGGGTCCCTTGTATGTTTATTATTGCAATTGTTAATTGAGAAATAATTGCATTTGAAGAAATCATAAATTGCTATAAAAATCTTTGCAAAACATCTGCTGCTGAAATTTTCCCAATAATAAAAACATTGCAAAAATTTCAAATAAAAATATATTTGGTGTATGGAATAATTGTAAGGTGAACATGTCTGTCAGGCAGGGTTCATTTTACCATGACCCCTTAGACAATGTCAAGTTTTTGTGGTTAAGTCTGTTTCTCAGATACTATAAGCAATAGGTCAATTAAATTTGGTGTATGGAATGATGGTTAGTGTACATACCTGTATGTATGGTAGGGATCAGCTGAATGTGATCTCATTGTTATGGATCATTGATAATGTTAAGTTTATGTGATACCTGTAGTAAAACAACAGGTGAAACATTTCCGGTGTATAACACTTTATTAATTGTGTGCGTCCCAAGTGATTTTTTGGATTAACTTTCATTAGTGATGCTCAAACACTGAACATTTGAAAGCCAAGGATGTATAAGACCTGAACATGTAACATGTAAAGAGATTTTGATCAAATGGGACCTAAATAAATAATCAATTTCATTCTAAGTTCGACTTAGCCTGAGGGAGTTGAAACCTAAGTTTCTCAATAATTTCTTAATTAATCAAATGAGAATTTAAGAAAAGTTTGTTAGAAATAGTTACTTTCATCATCAACATTTTATATTCAATATCTTTTTAATCTAAAGACCCAGCATAATTAATAGGATTTATCTAGGCATACTATATCAATGTGACCACTACAAATTTCAAACTGTTAGTAATCACTTACAGCAATAAAAATAGTGTAGTTAATAGTTTGATATCATAGATTATAGTGATCATTCACACTGCAAGAAGCGTATATTTTTTTATTTGATTCTATTTTTCATTTTATATTTTTTTAGAAACCATATATAGATATATATTTGTTATAGTTTTCATATGTAATATAAAGACCTATATACAGGCTATGCTTTACTCCATTCATTCACATTAAAACTATCTGTCAAACTTTATGAAATTTGGTATCAGGCTTAATATGAGCATGATATATAGTATGATGTGTTTTAACAACCATCATTCATAAACAACTGTTTATTCAATACTTATAGAGGTTTTTATTAGTGAGCAATAGAACAAAGTACGTCTTGTTTTTAACATGAATTATTTCATACTCGACAAAAAAGGTTTTTTTCATGAATTATTTCATACTGGACAAAAAAGGTTTTTTTCATGAATTATTTCATACTGGACAAAAAAGGTTTTTTTCATGAATTATTTCATACTCAGGACAAAAAAGTTTTTTTTCATGAATTATTTCATACTCAGGCCAAAAAAGTTTTTTTCATGAATTATTTCATACTCGGGCCAAAAAAGTTTTTTTTCATGAATTATTTCATACTGGACAAAAAAAGTATCTGTATACTGTTGATTCATTTATTGTCGAGCCTGCAACTTTTGTCACAAAAGCGAGACATAGTGATCCTACATTCCGTCGGCAGCGGCCACAAATATTTACTCTGTGGTTAAAGTTTTTGAAATTTTAATAACTTTCTTAAACTATCCTGGATTTGTACCAAACTTGGACAGAAGCTTGTTTATGATCATAAGATAGTATCCAGAAGTAAATTTTGTAAATAAAAAAATCCTGTTTTTCCGTATTTTACTTATAAATGGACTTAGTTTTTCTGCCAGTTCACTCTGTGGTTAAAGTTTTTAAAATTTTAATTACTTTCTTAAAATATCCTGGATTTCTACCAAACTTAGACAAAAGCTTGTTTATGATCATAAGATAGTATCAAGAAGTAAATTTTGTAAAAAAAAAATCCTTTTTATCCGTATTTTACTTATAAATGGACTTAGTTTTTCTGCCAGTTAACATTACATTCACTCTGTGGTTAAAGTTTTAAAATTTTTAATAACTTTCTTAAACTATCCCCGATTTGTACCAAACTTGGACAGAAGCTTGTTTATGACCAAAAGTTAGTATCTAGAAGGAAATTTTGTAAAAATATATTTCCTGTTTTTTCGTATATAACTTATAAATGGACTTAGTTTTTCTTCCAGTTAACATTACATACAGTCTGTAGTTTAAAGTTTTTAAAACATTTATTAGATTCATAAACCATTCGGGATTTTTACAAAACTTGGACAGAAGCTTCTTACAATCAAAAGATAGTATCTATAGGAAAATTTTTAATAATTTTTTCCCTGTTTTTGTGGAGCCTGTGACTAGCAGCAAAAGTAGGCGAGACATTTTGCGGTCGTATATTGGTATCACGTCGTCGTCAGCCGCATCGTCTGATGACATTTGGTTTCTGGAAAATAACTTTAGTATTAGTTAATAGAAATCTATGAAATTTAAACACAAGGTTTATAACCACAAACGGAAGGTTGGGATTGATTTTGGGGGTTATGGTCCCAACAGTTTAGGAATTGGGGGCCAAAAAGGGGTCCAAATAAGCATTCGTTTTATTTATTTTGTATAAATATTTCCTTTCTCTATTGGTACTGTACACGTATACCTAACAACAAAATTATTTTCATTTACCTGTGTTTAAAGTTATTGCAAATGGATGGTATTTTTGTTCGAGCATATTGTTTTTCTTTAATTGTTTAACATTTCTTACCGATATAACATATTACTTTTATTATTCTTCCCTTAGTTTATTTATTTTGTATTAAAAATTATTTATTTTGTAATATTATTTCCTTTCTCTATTGGTACTGTACACGTATACCTAACAACAAAATTATTTTCATTTACCTGTGTTTAAAGTTATTGCAAATGGATGGTATTTTTGTTCGAGCATATTGTTTTTCTTTTATTGTTTAACATTTCTTACCGATATAACATGTTACTTTTATTATTCTTCCCTTAGTTTATTTATATTGTATTTACATTGTGTCATAGGTCAAATTTATTTGTTCAGTGTATGTTCAATGGTGTTAATATGTCCTTTGATTGAGTTAAGCTATTTCAGTTGATATTTTATAGTGTGTCTTTCTATGTTGTGATCTCTCTGAAATTATACCACAAGTTTCCATACCACAAAGGGATGGTTAGGATTGGCTTTGGGATGTTATGGCTCAAACTGTTTAGGAATTAGGGGCAAAATAGTGAGAAAAAACAAGGGTGTCCTGGTTAATGGACAATTACTTAAGTACAATGTTGTGTTTGAATTACCTCCCTTACACTGCTTTTAAATTATGTATAAAGAAATGTTGTATTGTCTTTAGGTGATTAGCTGTCAAATTATTTTTAGAAGTTACTACCGGTATTTTAATCATTTTAAAAATGCTGATTAAGGTATATTAATTTTAGCCATGATTTTCTATTTTAGACTTTTATGATGTATTTAAATGGGTTATTATGGTTGCAAACTCCATTGGAAATTTAAATTGAGATTATGACCATATCTTGAGGGGAAAGAATTTTTTTTTGGAAAAGGGGGGAGGTTAAAAAAAAATTGGAAAGGGGGGGGGGGGGGGTAAAAAAAATTGGTGGTGGGGGTTGGGGGAGTGGGGACAATTTTTTCTCCTCAAGATTTCAGAAATCAAAAAGAAAATTTCTTCAAATATTTTTTTTTTGAAAACAAGGGGGGGGGGGGGGGGGGTGGTTGGTTAAAAATTTTTTTTTTGAAAAAAAGGGGGTGGGGGTAAAAAAAAAAAATTATGTGGGGGGGGGGGGGAGAGGTCAATTCGCAACAGCATAGTGTATTGCACAAAAGCAAAAATTTGAATATAAATTCCAATCATATAACCAATTCTAAGTTCTTTGACTACAGTTATTCGGTGTCAGAAACCTATTATGTGTCAAATATTGAATTACAATCCAAATTCAGACCTGTATCAAGCACGAATATTATGTCCATTTTTGCCCAAACTGTTCAGGGTTGGACCTCTGCGGTCGTATCCAGCTGCGCTCGGCGAAGCAATTTATTATTTTTGTTGGTGTCAATTTCGTAGATTGAGGAAAAGTTTTATTTTCATGGATATTTTATTTGTGGTTTTTCCAAATTCTGCATACAAGCCTACAGAAAATTTGTACTTCGTCAAACATTGAAATTAAATGGTTTACCTTTATCTATGAAATCCACCAGCAATTGGTAACCACAAATAATTATGAAGTTACAGTATCTGCTTTTGAAGAATATAACTAATTATTATGGGTTCATGGATAGTCAATGTGAAGTTTCTTACCATACCTTAAAATATTCCTACAGAGGAGCCACTGGACGTTAAGCAACCAAAAATAAATAAATCCTACAGAGGACAATGATAAACATGTTTACCTATTTTCTTGCATTGTAATGTTACAATTGTCAAGTTTTGAGATCAATATTGCCCAAGTGAAGCACATTGCTTCATGTTACTTTGCCTTAGAATTACCTGAGTTCTACTATTGTTTGATTTTAACACTTTGATAAAATTTAGATAAAATTAAACTAATGCTAGAAAATAATGTAGCATGTGAAATCTTTTATTTTAAATCTGATTGCCCTTAAATAACAATTTTAAATAAATTTAGGGTGTTCTTTATTATTCTGAAAACAATAATAGATAGATTAAAACTGTAAACATCAAGAATGACCATGAGATAGAATATAATAATGAATAGCACAAGAGACACTGTAAATTGACTATTTCTAAGAGTAATTGCGAAAAAGGTGAAATTTAATATCAAAATAGCATATTTTGCTAGGTGATCGATTCAGGCTCCTAAGAGCTTCTGTAACTTGAATTTATCATGACTTTATGCATGTAATAATTGTGACATGAGTTGACAGTAACTCCAAAACTAATCAGTTAATTTTGATCAGATTTACCCAGGATATCTATGTATTAGCCAAGATCTTGCATGTAAATTGTTTCCTCTTCTTTAATGGTACTGTTTCCATACCGGAACATAACTTATTGTTGTAATTTATCTTGTAATGGGTATGCAATTTGTGTCTGAACTTGTAATTTCCTGTTTCCTATGACAATGAGATGTTGCATGACAAGAAATGACATCGATATAGTCTCTATAAAATACCTAAGATATAAAAGGCATGGCTAATGATTCTACTAACTCTGTTACCATTACTAACACTATTTTACAGGTGAAGAAGACTGTCTTACAAGAAGTAAGGTTTTATATTGTTCCCTTCAATGTTGTCACACTTGTGCACTCATTTTTACCCTATGAATGTTTTTTATTGTCGCTTTTTTCCTTTCCAATTTTTTTTCTGACAAAATGTGGTTGGTATGATTTGCTTAGAATATTTGTTATTTTATTATGATTTGGTAAGAAAAAGATGAGGATGTTTTGTAGCTTTCATTAGAAGGTTTGTAATTCATAGGCTGTTCCTGAGTTTAGGGATCAGTTTATTGGGAAGCTTTTGTTTCATTTTAATGATTGATTCTGCTACAGGAAAATGCCATACAATTACTACTCCAAGATACATTAATTACAATATAAATTATTCATTTATTTGATTTTTATATAGAAATTGTTAGTATTATGACAAAACTTGTAAAAAGAAACACTTTTGCTCTTTGATAAATGAAACAGTTTTTTGACACTTTAGTGCAACCATTTTGTTAATTTAGATTGAGAAGAAGATATAAACTATAAAGCATAATTTATTACTATTTATTTGAATTTGTTTTTTTTTTAAATTGAAATTGAAGTTTGAAAATTGGCTTTATCATACCTTTGTCCTTTACAGTTTATTTTTTGCACTTTTTGTTTTTACAAAACTACTGGTAGATAGAATTAGATATATGTTATATAGGTAGATGTAAACCTTACATTGACACTGAGATCACAGTTAAATCAATGAATGTCATTATTATTCTTTCTGAGCACTCCGGCTTTCACCAATAAAAACTGACTGCCACTAAATAGCCAGTAGTGCTGAAAGTTGCATTAAACACCAATCAATAAATCAATCATAATTATGGATTTCTAGTATGAATATAAGACCAAATGCTATGGTGTTTTAAAAAGAATTTAACAAACCAACTTCTTGTACTTCAATTACTGCTTACTAAAACATATTTGATATCTTACATTTATTGATAAAGACTAGACATTAAAAATAGAAATGTCATGAGTCAAGAAAAAGATTAACATGAGATGATAGGATATATCAAGAAGACAACAACTTAAAAATACAGTAAAAAAGAACATTTAGTCTTCAATGAGAAACAATCTTCCTTGCAATATACCAAATGATAAATTGTACCCAAATATAAGATGGATTATAAAAGGTCTGTCATGTTCACCAAAACGAATAAAAAAACTATGACCTAAATCATGTGGACTGCTTAATGGAAGTGGTAAAATAAATATGTGCTCTCTTAGATTATATGAATTTTGCAGAGAAATCCTATTTTTCCATCCCTTTAGACATAGTATACACAAATACACTGGAATGATTTTAAGGCAAATATCAAGTGACACTCATATGTTTTGAATCATTAATTGAAAATTAAAATAGTATCATTATTTAAAAAAAACAGGTTTTCATTTATCGTTTAATTTTCCTATGCTATCTACACATGATAATAAATAAAAGAACATTTAGTTATGAAAACAAGTTCAAAATGCCTCTTCTGCTAATTTGGGAGTTATGCCTTTTTACAAAGTAATACCAATGGCCACTTCACTTTGTATTGAATTTCATACTGCAACATCATGAGCATGTAAGAAAAGCATGATTTTGTGCACTGCTCATATGTTTGCTCACAACTCCTATAGAGAAAAAAATGATGAAATATCTTAGAAGGAAAAATTCAAATCTGTGATGATGTCTGTCTGTTTCTTTTTATTATTATCTTTTTTGTAGGGAGTCTTTCCTCTTGGATTGACTCTAAACCCAAGGTAGAATGATGAGCCTGAATGGGTAACATTTCTATGGATTATTTTGATTTTTTTATTACAGGTGGCTGGTAGCTTATCGTTAGATTTAAATGAACCAGGCGTGTTGGCAGAACCTTATGAAACAGATGATAGAAGATTTGTTTTCCATGTATCGTCACCAAAATTAAGAAAGTAAGTCTTTTTACACCACATAAGTCGAAGTCAACTGTCCCTGGTATTTGTAGTGTATAGAGAACTTAATGCAATATTCACCACACTTTATTCTTCTTTTATTGTGTTTTCCCACATACATCTTTGGAGACATTTTTTATACTTCCATTCATTTGTCACTAAAAGATTGACTATCTTTAGCAGAAGTATTGGCAGAGCAGACAGATGTTGAAAGATTTGTTAATATAATACTATATATTGGTATCATTACTAAAATTAAGAAATTGAATGTTTGTCTCTGTCTAGGGTTGTCAATATGAACTTGAAGACAACTATATGCAGTATATTTTTCCTGAGAAATAATTCAAATAGGAGTACTTAAATATATGAAAAATCGTAAAATGGAATGAAAAAAAAAGTTATCTTCAGCTTCATTTTTCTAAAAATCCAGTTTGGCATTGTTGAATAATGGTCCACTTGAAAGAAGATACGGTTTTCCATATCAGATGATGATCTGAACGATCAGTAAAGTTATTGAAAATATAAATGGAAATCATTTTTATGACAAATTAAAAAGCGTTCATGATGAATTTTATTTTCATTTGTTGTTCATGGACATTATTATCCATTTGTATCTATAATATTTGTCAATTTTGTTTCTATAGATCAGTTGTATTACAAGCTGAGAATGAAAGAGAAAGAGATGAGGTAAGATAATTTAAGAGGGAGCAATGACGACTCTCAGCTTCCTGCTGATTGATTGATTGATTGATTGATTGGTGTTTGCTTTTCACTGCATCAGTGCAAAAGGCTATATCCCCATAAGGCTCCTGCCGAAAAAGTGAGTATCAGCCCATTCAGTCATACTTCAGTGATTAGAATTTTCATCCCCGCCTTTGACAGTAAAGGGTCATTATGTTTTCAGATCTGTGTATCTGTCCTTTCTTCTATCCGTTCTTCTGTATGTTCATCAGCCCCATATCAGGTTAAATTTTTGGTTTAAGGTAGTTTGTGGTCACTTCAAGGTAAAGTTTAGTTTGTACATATGTTCATCATGAAGTAAACTGTTTTATATATATGCCAAACAGGCATGGGGCGAATTACATTGCAATGTAATGCATTATATTACAATTACTTTGACCAAACCATGCATTATATTACAATTACAATTACATGCATTTATCAAAGTAATGCATTATATTACAATTACTTTTGCAAAGTAATGCCTTGAATTACACATTACATTTGAAAATTTTATTAGTGAATAGAAAAATAGTACATTTTGAAAAACAACTACAAGTCACAAAAGATTCTAGCATATGCAGTAACTGTTCCATGAATTGAATATAAGTATACATGTAAAAAGTCTATTTAATTTGACTTTTACAATTTTTAATTATTTTAACTTAATGTTGACTTTACTTTTATAAATATATTTTTTGTTGTTTTCCTTTAAATTTTAAACGAAATATTTAATTACTGTGAATTACTTCCCTAATTATAAAATAAACATAGACCTTAATTAAAATTAACATATTCTTAATTAATCAAGAAATCTTAAATTTGGTTTAGTTAAAACTCCAACAATATGTTAAAGATGTAGTATGTGAAAAAAATAATGACATGTAATGCCATGTAATGCATGAAATTACACAACTTTTTGCTAAAGTAATGCATTATATTACAATTACATGTAATGCACAAATTGCTGCATTACACATTACATGCAATTACTTGGAAAAATGTAATGCATTACCATGCATTACAATTACAAATTTGCATTACCCCATGCCTGATGCCAAAATAGATTTTTTGCTCAGATTTCATAGTTCACATACAAACATGGAAATGTAATTGGTAGATGGTAAGCTTAAATTTGGGTTTTTTGTAGTTTGTGGTCATATCAACTTGAAACTTAGTACACATGTTTCTTATAATGAAGAGAACTGTTAAGTAATTATGCTAAACTATGGATTTGACCCAGATTTCAGTTTACTGAACATGGAAATGAAAAGTGCTAGTGGTACATGGTTTTCTGTGAACACATATTCTTGTTTTGGATTTTTATGTGGTTTCTAGTAAAAAATTTGAAAAATTGAATGACTTTGTCAAGCCTTCATGGAATTTTACCAAAACTTGACACAAGTTTCTTCATAATGAAGAGATAGCACTCATGGGAATATTTTTCTTTTTCCTTTTTTTTTCTGATTAATGGACTTAGTTTTATTGACAGTCAACATTACACTTTTACACTGATTGCAGGTGTCACAGTCCAGACACAGGGTTCCTCGAATCTTAAAAAAAGAAGAAAATTGAATACTGCATTTATAAGAATTTTTAAATGGTTGTAACATGTAAGACTACAAAAAAGTATTCTCATTTCATTTTCTTTAATTTTTAGTGGATATGTACAATTAACAACATAGTAAGAGAGAGTGGCTATGTTAAATCAAAGTCACCACAGCAGCAGCAAGCCGTCAAAGTAAGTACAGTGATTTATATCGTCATAAAAACCACAGCCTGATTGTAGAAGGAAATTATCTCAGTGATGATAGTAAACATTGAATTACAGGACTGTGGTAGCTTAGCTGTGTTGCCACCTTATTTTAGAATCATTTTCTTTTCCATTAGGTCTTCTGTTAAAAAGATGATTTATCAATGATCATACTAAATTGCATTTTTCTTTTCATATTAAAGCAATAGACATGCAATATTTGTGTTCATATGGTACTTGTTGCTTATTAATATTACCAATGTATAATGAATGATAAATTGACCATTGCAACCTTCACCACTAACCTAATGATAATGTTGTCACCTTCACCAAAGCAGTCAAACTGAGTGGAGTAGTTTCAACTTGGTTTTGTTCTAACTGTCAACAGAATTAGTAGTCAAAGTGAAGGAAGTTCTTTAAATTCTGGTTTATTGGGGCTGCCTCCAAAGAGGTAATTTCAACTTTGGAATATTTGCAACTGACATCAAAACAGTCAAACTGTGTGTAGGACTATTAATATGGAGTACATTGATGCCATCACCAAGCAGTCAAAAAAAAAAAACATATATAAAGATGATATATAAAAAAAACATATATAAAGAATCATACCAATGTACAAAATTACTTTTACCAATGCAGAGATATTGAAACACATCTAAATATGCTTTTTTTCTACAGGAAAGAACACCTAGCACAACTAGCAGTACAAAAGAATCTGGTGGCAGTAGTCCAGACATGGCCAATGTAAACAGGTATAGTGTTATTGTATAATCAGCTGTTAGTATAAGGTCATAATTTAAATGTTCAAATGTAGGCAATAAGAAAATTAAAGGAGATATTTTTTTATAATCATCAACTCTTTAAGATCCCTAGTTTTTTAATCTAAAAAAATTTGGTAATCTAACTCTTTAAGGTCAAATTATCCCTTTTCATTAAAACAATTATGATTTCTACCTATTTCTTGCTCTTTCATTATTTAATTGTAAGTTATAGTTTGTGTGTAGAAGTTGTTGTCTAAGCATTCTCTGTTTTCTTAATAAAGCTTGCCCATTACACCAGACATGTTTGTTGTAGATATTCATTATTAATGATTAGACTTATTTGTGAAAGTAGATTGTACAAAAAAAAGATGTTTTATGATTAAATAATTAAGATTAACTGCAATAAGTAACATGAATATTAGGTGGGGATCGAAAACTAATCCCCCTCTAGAAAATATTCCAAGGGGGGCCGGGATATCTCCCTATTGGAGTTTAGAATGTTAACTATTTTTTTTTATTTTTTGGACATATGCATGTAAATATTTGCAGATATTTTGCGGTTGTTTTGTATAGTTTTTTGAGTGCATTATATCTTTATTTTGAATGTTTTGATTGTTGTGATGTGTTCTTTTCTATATATTTTTTTATTAACAGTTCAGCAAGTTTAGGATCACCGCATGCTCCTAAACCAGCACCTGCAACAAATGATATGTTGTTATCTGATGTTCCTATACAGTTTGATCTTCAACCTTCTATTGATGATATAACAGATGTCACTCCTAATCTTCAAGGTCCACCAAAGTTAGTCTGTAATACTATTATCAGTAATATATTTCTGATTCACTTCAGGTAGAAGAATTAATCAAATAGGAGGTATATTCAGATTGATTTACTGATAAATAAATTTCCCTGTTACAGTAGATTCGTTTTTTTTCTCATGGATACTGATTTTCTTGGATTGAGAAAAAAGATGTTTTTATGAGTTATGCATACAGATAGAAGCCTATAGAAAATAAGTACTTTGTTGAACATTTAAAATTGGTTTATCTTTATCCATGAAATCTTCAAAAAATTAATACCTGATGAATTATAATGAATCCAAAGTAACTTACTGTAAAGTAGACAGAAGTGGTAGGAAGCCTGAACTAGGAATAAAAGGGTCCATAAAATATGGGCTATCTATTTGTGAATCTAGGATTGAGAGAAAGTCTGATAATGAATTCAGTTGTCACCTCCTTGACGCATGATATTTATCATGTTACATGATCAAATCAAATAAAAGGCTATCTGAAATTATTTACATTAACTTTTAATTTTGTCTTTTGGTTTAAAATAGATTTATACAGTTGCAAAATTGCAACTTCCGTAGGAATGTTTAAAACATTTGAGAAATGTGTCAATAACTAATCCTTGTAATGGCAGCTTTGACAGGATTGTGAGCAAAGCAGTGTTCAAGCTAACAGGCATGCAGATTTTATTATGAAAATTTATTTATATTAAAAAAGATAATTAATTGGTAGAAGTAATGTAATGCTGTTGTTCTTATCTTAAGTTTTTAATATTAATAGCATGTCATGTTGTTTGCATGAACACTTGTTAAACTTTCTGAATGTATTACATTGTGTGCAGTATTTACTGTCTCTTTTATAGAATTGTAGTTTAGATGCCAATATTGCAATTTTCAAATGTGTTTATGTAAGAAGATGAATTCTATACAGTGTACACATACCGTTACATCATAAGTTTAATAATAAAATTTTCTCTATTTCTTATAGGAGAATAAATCCATTTGACCAGACCACTGGAGAAGTTTTAGATACTTTAGACTCGGCAATAGCAGATTCCCATTATGTAGAAAGTTTTGTTGTCAGATTTTTAGGTTCAATGGAAGTAAAAGCAGATAGAGGTAATTGCTATGATTGTAATATTATGTACTAATATTTAGATTCAAATTTGTCTCAATAAGTTGAGGGGGACTATCGGAGATCCCGTAGTACCCATGTCTGTGTCTAGAAGCACCACAACCAGTTCTTAAAAACTTAGACTTACTGTAATATACATGTAATTAGGTGTGCAAAATCTATGAAGGTCATATGTCCTTTTTTTCATTATCCAGTTTCAGTTAAACTTTTAAACACTAAGTGATCTAAAATCAAATGACTTCTTGTAAGAATGCAACTGAGGGAGTATAGCATCATCTTGCAAAAGTAGTTCACCCTATCCTACATTATGAACATCACTGGCTAGCATTACATTTATAAACCTGGGTTCAGCTACAAACTTACCTGCAATAATATAACTTATAGGAATTCATCTAGGGTCAGTATAGCAATATCCCACAAAAAGTAGGCCACCCTGTCTGACACTTTAAAACTTTTATATATTTTCATAAAAAAGCTAATCATATATCTGTATTTACTTTCAGGAGAACCTTTAGTATTAGAGACAATGAGACAGATAATGGCAGCAAGGGCAATACACAATGTGTTTAGAATGACAGAGTCTAGATTAGTAGTTTCTAGTGATAATATGAGGTAATCTGAATACAGAAGGAATAAATGGAAGTTTTCAAAGTCATGATCTTTGAAATGGGTTTGAAAATTTTTAAAAAATAAACAACTACTTTTTGGGGTGGTTAAGAGCTTTCTCTGCTCTCCTATGTTGAGGGCCATATGTGACCTTCTAGATGTCCTTTTGTAGTTGTATCCTTAGGTTGCTGTCAGTTTTATATATATAGAAACAAGCCGATATCAATGTTCAAATAAGTAAATGTATAATTTGAACATGAACTAACATCATTATGGATCTTCAGTTTTTGCATTGACACTTGATTTAATTACAAATGAAAAGACATATAAATTGTTTTGCATAAGACAGCAATAAACCAGAAAAGACCTGTTAAGGGCAACACCATTTATAACAATATTGGACAATTGAAAATTTTGGAGCATCACTCGCATGATATGCATGTGCTGTTCTTGTATTTGGTTACAAGTATATGTATGTAAAATACGATATTGCCTACTGGTTCTACTGATCTATTGCCAGTGGTTTAATTTTGTTGTTGCCAAATAATCCAACAATGATTGACACTAGTAATAATAAAAGATTATCCTCTAAAAATTGAAGAATAAATGTGTGTGTGTGACTGCTTATGTCACATGTAGCCAAAATATTGAAATAATTTAATTTAACCTTTTTATCAGATATATTATTCCATCATTCCAGTTGATCTTGGAAATTCTAATGCAATACTGTAAATTCAGAATTTATTATTGCAATTTCAGAAAAATCTACATACACTTTTATGTATCAGATATCAGAATGAGAGCTCTTATTATTGCGATTATCACCCAGTTTAATTATTTGCCAAAATAAAACCTCGCAATAATTTCTGAATTTACAGTAGTTTGTGATGAGGTAACATATTGGCATGTCAGTTAACTGCTAGTAGTCTGTTGTTATTTATGTATTATTGTCATTTTGTTTATTTTCTTTGGTTACATCTTCTGACATCAGACTCGGACTTCTCTTGAACTGAATTTTAATGTGCGTATTGTTATGCGTTTACTTTTCTACATTGGCTAGAGGTATAGGGGGAGGGTTGAGATCTCATAAACATGTTTAACCCCGCCGCATTTTTGCGCCTGTCCCAAGTCAGGAGCCTCTAGCCTTTGTTAGTCTTGTATTATTTTTAATTTTAGTTTCTTGTGTACAATTTGGAGTTAAGTATTGCGTTCATTATCACTGAACTAGTATATATATTTGTTTAGGGGCCAGCTGAAGGACGCCTCCGGATGCGTGAATTTCTCGCTACATTGAAGACCTGTTGGTGACCTTCTGCTGTTTTCTGTTCTATGGTCGGGTTGTTGTCTCTTTGACACATTCCCCATTTCCATTCTCAATTTTATTGATATATATTCAAAACTTGGGTCACTTTGAAACATGTTTTGACTGGACAAGATGTCCTATGAGTAAGTCTTTATGCAGATTAGTTAACAAACAATTTAAAAAGGTTTAACAGCATCATGAAAATGCCACATATTTATACTTTACAGGTTGATAGATCCAGCTACTAACATTGTACGAACAGTATTTGCATTAGCAGACATATCATTTTGGGCAGCACACAATGAAAACAAAAGGTCTGTATAAGAAATTTTTATATCGAGTATCTGCTGTGATCATGTCAAAGCAGTTGCATTTATTTGAAAAATGAATTTGAAGTTTTATCAACAATTTGATGAGGGCTTTGAATATTCAACTTTAAGACGTTAAAAAACAATAATTTGCTTTTACTTTACAGATTCTTTAGCTTAAAGATTTAGAAAACGCAAATTTTCTTTTAATATATATTTTCCTTGCTTTTTTAGGTTGTTTGGTTTTATAACCAGAAACAGACAAACAGGTTTACCTAATCCATCCTTTGCTTGTCATGTGTTTGAATGTAACGTATCAGCAGAAGAGGTGAGAGAATGATAAAGTTGGTCTTGAAGAATTTCTTATGTTAAGTCATACTAGTGGCAGTTCCGTTGGTTGTCGCCATTTTCGCGTTTTGCGAAAAAAATAATAATTGTGGCGATTAAAAATCATGATTGGCAAAAGAAATATAATGACCATCTTGTTAATTTTATTCCGGTTTGTCTGACTTTTTTCTTGATCAGACAATACTCGGATTTCACCTTGAACTCGTCATGCCAAGATTTTGACAGAAAATCAATAATCAGCTGATTTCATTTGATAGCAATCGGCAACAATGGACTAATTAATAAAGGTGTTAATTCTATTGTTTAATGAAAATGTGAGGTAAAATGGCTTCACATATCACCTAAATAATTGTTTTACAAACTTTGATAAAAATAATTGTTTTGAAGATGGTAGGTACTTCACATCGTTTAAGCGGCAGCGCACCAGTTTTAAGTAAAGTTTTATGTCTCAACTTTTACTTTTAACGATGGTCGGGAAAAAAAATTGTTGTTTTAATGGAAGGGAATAAAAGTAGGAAAAATCTCTAATGCTATTCCTTGTCCTTTAATTAGGCAGGACGTATCAGATAAACTGACTGTTGATAAACTGAAGATGTTCTTAGAAGTCAAATTTTACAATATCTTAAAAATAACAATAAGTTTGTTCTAATTCAGTGTTCATTTATCACACTGTAGGTTATAAAATAGATATGTAGAATAATACTTAAAGAAACAACAATGCTGCAAACTGGATTTCTTTGTTAGCAAGAAGGAAAACTAGTCCTAAATAAAAATCTGTTTATGTTAGTTGGCAAAAAAAAAATTGAGAGTGGCGAAAGAGGTGGCGAAAAATGAAATTGACCCAAGGGAAACCCTGGTTCTGAAGTATTATAAATCATGTTGATAAACATTTATCAGTATGTACAGGTCTGTCAGAAAAATTGTATTTTTAAGAGGCAATATGTAGTGTCATAATTATTTACAGATTTTTTTTTATGCCCCACCTACAATAGTAGAGGGGCATTATGTTTTTCGGTCTGCGCGTCCGTTTGTTCATCGGTCTGTCCCGCTTCAGGTTAAAGTTTTTGGTCAAGGTAGTTTTTGATGAAGTCGAAGTCCAATCAACTTGAAACTTAGTACACATGTTCCCTATGATATGATCTTTCTAATTTTAATGCCAAATTAGAGTTTTGACCCCAATTTCACGGTCCACTGAACATAGAAAATGATAGTGCAAGTGGGGCATCTGTGTACTAAGGACACATTCTTGTTTATTCTAATTCAACAATTAGTGAAGTATATATATTTTGATTCAACTCAAGATAGATCAGATGTTTTTTTTATTGTTATTTTTATAGATATGCAGTGCCATACAAACAGCAACCAAACTTGCCTTTCAAGCTTTAATGGTAAGTACACAGTAATTAAATAATAAAGAATTTTTTGAGTGGCATGGGTTTTCTTTTGGCTTTTTAATTTACCATAGCGTTCAAGAGTGACTTCTCTGATAGAAGCAGATGTAGATATCATTTTATGAACACTTTGTAGTGAAAACTTATTTTTTTCAAAAATATTATATATTAAAAATTAATTTTCTTTGCAGCAGATTTGATTACATTTAGACAATAGCATAACATCATATTCTATTGAAAGTTTACAATTCAAAGCATGTGAATGTTTTTATTAAAGAAAGTATGTATGGATGAAATATAATATTCATATTATGGTATAGGATCTAACTTTTTAAAGATTTTCAGTGAACAGAGCCATTGTTTTCATTTGTAATCTTACATTCTGATATTTGATATTTAAGGGCATTACTTTTTTAATAGATGAAGGTTTAAAAAACTTATCCTGGATACTTAATTTTTTTCCCAACAATTTTTTTGCATCATAAAACAAGCTACAAGGAATGAACTTATTCCAAATAGGGTTGCAGCTTTTTCAAAGATGCTCAATACAGTCATTTTAAAAAAAGATATTCATTGTATAAGAATACTGTGATCACATAATTCAATCAGATTGAAAGTTTAGATTTGAAAATTAAGGTGACTTATAATAGGTGTCAAAGAATAAAACTGTTCAAAACTCAGAAAGAAATTTCCTTCCTTGTCTGAAGAATCTTTTCTGTATAATGCTGCAGTTGGGCAGATCAGAGCTTTAACAATGCATGGAAACATTTTTCACACATTCACATTTTAATGCATTGTAGACTGATTCAAATCAAACATAATGTATGGTATGTAAGATATAAAGGACAGGGTCAGTATTATAACACCTATTAAGGCACATAAATATCTAACCTATGTATGATTTAACTAATTCACAACACATAGCTTTAATGACAAATTTGTTGCCTGTATTGGTAACTGAAGAGGATTATATGATTATTGGATCTCATATCTCTTTTAACATCAAAAGTTTGTTTCAGGTCAAGGTTTCAGAATTTTTAAAGTTAAGAATCTGTTGGATACCTGTTTTTGATGGAATTCACTTACAAAACAAATTTGAAATAATGAAGCTCATGCAATAAACACTTCATCCAACTATGAAATCATGTGACTATGAAATGAAAGTTCTTTTTCTTACTAACATAAATAATAGGGTTGCCATAAAAATAAATTTCAGATGTCCTAATGAGATCACCAGTTTTATAGATCATTGTTGACTAATAAGCAAGCTTTGCTTATTTCAAATTGTCACATGTTATTTTCTTTTTTCAAAGTCCTTTGTATTCTATAGCATATATTTTATGATAATGCTACGGATATTTTACAGCCTTCTAACGACCCTTCTTTAGCAGGTGTGAGTAAAATAATATATCTTCTTTTGCTTTGTCTTTATATCATATCATATTCATGCATCTAATCAGGATCTGTAATGTTGTAGTTGAATGAAAAAAGGAGGGGGGGGGGGGGGGAATGAAGCAGTCATCACAATTTTTTTCAAAAGGAAAACGGTAGTGAATAATAATTATAGAACATTTATATATCAGTTAGAAATTATGAAAGTGTTTAATTGTACGTCAAATATTTAAAAAAAAATAAACATACTGTTCAATGTTGCATGTTATGCATGATAAATTTTTAGGGTCATTGGTCATTTCCAGATTTTTTTGTATGTTTTTATTGATATGCATGTTTCAGAATGCAAGTTCTACTATGATTAATTATAGAATGGACCAAATGCTTTTCTTTGTGTTTCATTTTATAGAAAAGATCATTCTTCTTTAGCCCAGTGCTGTGCTATAAAGCTCCATTAAATGTTTAAAATGCTTGCAATCTTGGAATAAATATGTAAATACTGGGGAAAAAGGTTAACATACCTGCTAGCTTAATGTATAAATATATTGTAGAAAATTATAATGATAGTGATTTTATCAGTATATGGATTTATGTTATATGTTGTGTACTTTGCCAAATCCATGTATAAAAAAATATGGCCATTTATGTAGACATACCATTTGAGGGCAACAACAGTTATGGTGGGTACAGCCGCTGGTGCATTGTTAATCTGCCCAATGATCTGATCTAGCTTATTACCATGATGTAAATAATACATTTTGTTTGTTGAATTTCAGTTCATCAATGATTTAATTGTATTAACTCCTTGAGGAAAAGTTTTTGCAATTTTTATTTTTGGCTCTTCAAACTATTGGTCTTGAAAGTATTTGATAAAAAGGTATTGCAAAATAATGTGTTGTGTGCATCAATATCAAACCTTTTGCTATTTTGGTATTCAAATTAGCAATTTTACTACTTCTGCTCACTTAAACAAAACGTAACCAAAAGTGTATGACCTTTGTTCAAGTTTTTTGTACAGAGGCTATTTTTGCTCACATGTTCTGTGTGAATCTTTGAAATAGTCTTGTATATGAATATGATAGTTTCATGAGATTTTCGAGTTTTTCTTGACGTAATTCGGATTTCCCATTTTAAGGTAGATGGGGTGTCTAAATTATAATCCATAGAATTTTTTAATAATTTGCCAAAATGTAGTTTATATCATGCTTTTTTGGAAAAAATAATAAAAAGAATGGGTCACGGGGCTTATTTTCACGCTACAGGTTGTGCAAAATTGACAGATTTTGTATAGATAATGCATGGAAAACGCAATTTTCTGCCATAAAACGAAAACTGCACCATAGAATTTTGAGATAAAACATGAGAAGATAGCTCTAATATTATACTTTCAGATAAGAAAAAGAAAAAATGGGGTCACCGGACCCGTTTTCTTGCTACATAATAAAATATATAAATTCCTAACACATTCTATTGTAAAAGTAACAATATTTGAATTATCTGCCCTTACATTTGAGTTGCCTCCCCTTATGTGGCAAAGTTAGAAAAAATTGAATCAAACAAAAGTATTCTGTTGTTTGTAAAATACAACCATAAATATAATTAAACATGTCATTTTCTATATTAAAATGTAAATTCTTACACATGAATTACCCACTACTCTCAAAATTTGCACATTTTATTAAAGGTCTAGACCGATTATTTTCTGGTATTTCAAAATCCAAGATGGAGGAAGACACCCTATCTACCTTAAATGGTAATTGTGTACTAAAGAATGAATTTATTTTGATAATCAGATGAATTTTGTGTGAAATAAACAACAAAAAGTAATATTTACCCCCGAAATTACAGACTTCATAAGATACTTGCCACTTTCTTTAGATATCTTTATCATTAGTTTTAAGTACAAATGAATCTTAGTCTTAACAATTTAGAAGGTAAGAGAGATTAGTGTCTTTTTTGGATAAATGAACATATTTTTAGTTAACATTGTACATTTGTTTATGAATAAATTATCATATTTATTCGAATTCATATAGAAAAAAGTTTCCTTCATGTTTCATGGCTTTCCAATTTCCCTTTTCTTGCAGGAGAAAAAAGCAGTGGAAAAGATTCAGAAGGTTAAAGCCAAGGAAAAGAACATTTTATTGCAAAATATTCAAAATCTTGAAGATGCTGATTCAGATGAAGAACTTAACAAACTGCCTCTCTCACCAGACGGCAAATATTTGGTGCTTACTGCAACGGAGGATGATGATGAAATGTTAGAAGATACAAATTATGTAGACACACAGATGACTCAGCAAGTCAAGGACCTAGTTGTAACACAAGAAGAGGAAGGAGTAGATGACTCGGAAGCTTGAATTAGGGGCATTTTATATTTTGGTGAAAATGGGGGATTGATTTTGCTTATTAGTATGTTTGGGTATTTGGAAAAGATTATCTTGTCATATTTCTTATTGCAAGCTTGTGTAAATTGCAACAGTTGAATGAACTGTCAATAATGAACCATTGAAAAATAATGTTCAGAGTACTTTGGATTTATTATTATTCGTTAGATATCAGTTTTCGTGGATTTAATGGGTATACGTGAACAACAAACTTAAATATTCATTAAAGTATACATTTTCCATTGACCTTTATTCTGGCTTTGGCAAAACCACGAAATCAAATATCTACAAAATTACAACTTTTCCTCAATCCATGAAAATTGGTACCCATGAAAATAAATTAATTCACAGTATACAAAGAGCTTCTTACACATTCAAAAATGAAGTTTCTAGGATCATGAATGGGTTCAGATTGTAAACATTTGTTGAATTTTTAACTACTGTATTGCTTGATACATTTTGAAAAATAGAGAATTCTATTTTATTCCATGCTAATGAGATTACTCATTTGAAGATGATTTACAGTTCAGTATCTTTTTGAAACTTTATAAAAAGTAATACTAAATGAATAAAATTATTGACTGATTTGATAAATCCTGTGGAAAGAAAGGACCAAAAAAATTCTTAAGTGCAGAATAAATACAAATGAATATATAAGCAGTATTGAACTTTCATTATTTGATAATAATCATTTGCTTGCTCTATTTAAATACTCCTGCCAAAATCTCAATCTAATATTGCTTTTCTTACAAAAATGTCAGACCTGTGAGATCAATCTTAATGTTCTTGAAAATGTTGCAAAAAAAAAAACACAAATTGATTCATAATTAAAAAGCACCAGTTTCAAGTTACATTAAGATTCTAAAGTAGCCTGTGAAAAAGTGATTCTAATGAAAAATGAAAATTATATAATTCGCATCTTTGAATTTTATGTAGTAATCTTGGAAATCATGCCTGTACAACCTTCTTCCAAATCAAAATGTAAGAGATGTAATCTTTTATATAAAATAAGAAGATGTGGCATGATTGCTAATGAGACAACTCTTCACCTGAGACCAAATGACATAGAAGTTTACAACTATAGGTCACCTATAGTTGTTTGTGTTTCAGTCTTGTTATAAAGTCATATAAATAAAACTGCAGTCTCTACTAAAAGAATTTCTATCTACTTTTCGTGCTTTATAAAGATTCACAAGCTTTGGTGAAATGGGGCAAGGTTTTACATTACAATTCATATTTAAGGTGCAAGAACGAATGTCCTTATGGGGTGGTAATACTTCAGTATAAAATTTTTATTAGCCAGAAGGAGAAAATACTGATTTAAATTTCTGGTCTTTCTGTAAGTAGCCATTATTTATTATGTGCAGCATTCAGAAAAATCAACTTTTCACTCAATAACACATTAATTGGTCATGAATATGAGATGATTTGTTGTAACACAGTCCATTTAAGTGCAGGCTACTCTAAACTACTAATAATTGTTTAAATTGAGACAGTTTTTAATCTCTCTTGAACTAATATGAATGACTGATATTGCAAGTTTACACAAAAATTATATTTTGATGACCATGAGTTAAATATTTAAAAAAAAAAAGGTATAAAATTATCAACATGAAGAACTGTCTATCTTTTATATGTTTTTACATTAATGGGTAGAACTTTAAGTTACAGATATCTTATGTTTCATAGTTGTTAAATTTTTGATCACCCATTTACAATGGTTGTTTCTTTGTTTTATTTAGTGGCATTTAAGACTTATTTGTTACTTTATCTTTCAAAAGGTTGAAATATTGTCTTATTTCTTAAGCATTTGTCAGCACTTTAATGAGAGAAAAACACACAGACTTTTAATGATCTCTCTACATGATTAAAAGGTTGATAGTTTGAATGAATGTATAGTATAAGTATAGTATAGTATATATTTATGAAACGTGTACTATTCTTTTACCATTAACTCTGTGACACAAAAAATAAAAGTTGTCTTTTTTAGATATAGACAGCTAAGCAATACTAAAACTATAATTTTATTATGAATTTATTATACTAATATTTAGAAAATTTCCAAGTTTTTATTTTGCTATGTTTTAAATGTTATTTATCATTAAGAAAAAACTACAACAATATCTAAATGAATTGGAATTATTTCTAAATATCAAATCTGTTTTTTGCATTTAAAAAAAAAAATTCTTCACATAATGATATTGCCAATGTTGTTTTGTTATAAGAATTATATTGTTGTTTTGTAATCCTCACCTACACTAGACAGGGGACATTATGTTTTCTGGTTTTGATTCTGTTCTTCAGTTCTTTGTTGTGTATCAGGTTAACATGGAAATGTGAAAGTGAAATCTACATTCTTGAAAGGTTAACATTTTTTTATTAAGGTAGCCTACCACAAAGTTGTTGTCACGTTAAATCTAAATTTATTACACATTTTCATTATGATATGAACTTTTTAAATTATGATTTCATTGTTCACTGAACATGGAAATGTTATAGTGCAAGCAGGCCATAGTATCTATGGACACATATTCTTGTTTAATGAATATGATTTAAATATCCAACAAGCTCTGTTTATCATTGTCTCTTTGAATCAAATTTTATCATTTAAAATGATATACAAGGGTTGCTTTGGTTTTCAAAAAAGTGCTTTTTATTTTCAAGTCTTGATGATTAATCCTATTTTTTTCTTTGCGTTTATGGATTGAAGTTATGTTTGTAAGTGAATTCAGTATGTAGCAGTTTACTTAAGATAATTTTGCAAAATGAGTCATTTTAATGTAGAAATCGTGTTTGTTTGTTCTTTTTTTTTTAAAATTAAATGATTTAAAAAGTTGAAATCAATGTTTGCTAGGCCTGATGCCTCCACCATTCATTAATTTATATGTTATGATAAGACCATTTCATTTTATCACTGTAGGAATTAATGTGTGCTATGCTAGATGCTAGATTCACATTTTTTCATTTGATTTATTGCTATGTTATTTATTACACAATTTTAATTTATGATTTTGTCAGATTGAAAGAAGTCATTAATATTGGCAAAGGGAATCCAGCATGAAAAAAATATCATTGTAAAAAAAAAACAATGATATTTTGATAACAATGTCTAATCACCTAAGAAATTATTTATTTTCTACCAAGTAGATTAATGTAAAAGTTTACTTTGAATTCTGTTTACTCTTGACCATTGACACATAGTACAATATGTGAAGTACCCACCAACTGTGCTGGAGCTACTCTTATTATTCACCATAGAAAGTCATACAATTAAAATATATATCATTTTGATATTTTTTATTTCTTTTATGATATGTGAAGTGAAGTGAAATTCGGTATTTTTAATGTCTTTAAATTTATTTTATTTGCAGTTAGTTCTATGTCATAACATCGAAGAGAATGGTCCCTTTTCAAACTCCACAAACTAAACTATAAAAGAGATTTAAATCAATACTAACATTTCTATAATAAAGATTCTTTAAAAAATCTTGATTTGACAAAGTCAGAATTTTTTTACCTTACTCAAATGTTTTTCAAAATTTAATGTCATATTTGATACAAGGAATTGAAAAAAAACCCCAAAAAACAACTTTTGTTCATGATGCATGTTAAAACAGAACAGATCTTGAAGGGGGAGGTAACGTATGCAAAAAGGCATGAAATGTCATTGTTTTATGTTTAAATGTCAAGGCGTTATGTTTAAACAGAGTTCAATGTTTCCTTAAAACTTTGTTTTGTGCAATGTAACATATTTAAAGATGTTTAATCCTTTTAACTTTATAGTATTAGTTAAGTATAACCATTTTATAGAGTGCCATTTGGAATCTCATAAGTCTAAAGATATAGGACAGAATGTTGTTAAATATATTTTAGCACATATAGCTGTGATAGTGTGTAACTTTGAATAGTCGAAACATACAGACCAGAGATTTGACTAAAAAACTGACAGAAATATTAAAAATAGGAAAATACAAAAATGTAGACATAACACATCTTGTGTAGTGATTCATTTGTTTATTGTCTAGAAGATTCTACATTACATTGTCACAGTTCATTTTCTTTCAATCTGATTAAAACATAGATCTTGTGTCCATACTTCGCTTACAAGGATCTAACAACAGTCTGTTATACTTTCTGTTTTAACAACATTTCAGAATCCTCAGGTTTTCAAATTTTAAATTAAATAGTTATCAGAACAGGAAGTAAAATGGAATGTTGTCAGATCTTTGTAAGCGAAGCATGGACACAGGATCTGTATTTTAAGAAGACTGATTTTCTTTAACAGAAAAATATACATTACTTTAAAAGATATCTACATTTTTTTGAGGCATTTAAACTTCTTGGAGTAACTTATAAAATAATCATCGTTTCCAATTTGATTACTTTAAAATCAATGGGCATGTGAAGGTAGATGTTAACTATTTGATGCATAATTCTGCACAATGTTAATTAAATCCATATTATTTATTAATCACCTTGAGTTAAATATTGATATATATATATTAAACTGTGATATGTATAGATTTGTACATAAATCATTGTTGCTAGAGAAAGGTGTGTGTTTATAAAGAAGTTATTAATAAACTTATCTTACAGACATTTTTTATTTATCATTTGTTTACTCAACAGAGGACATTTTTATTGAGCCTGCAACATTTATCTCGAAAGCGAGACATAGCGATCCTAGATTCCGTCGTCAGCAGCGTCAACATTTAGGTTCAGTCTGTGGTTAAAGTTTTTTAAACATCAATAACTTTGTCAAACCTTCATGGAATTTTATGAAATTTGGACAGAAGATTGTTTTATGACCAAAAGACACTGTCCAGAGTGAAATCTTGAAAATATTTATTTTCCTTTTTCCGTATTTTACTGATAAGTGGACTTAGCGTTTTTTTACAGTTAACAAGTAGATACAGTCTGAGGTTAAAGTTTGTTACACATCAATTACTTTGTCAAACCTTCATAGAATTTTATGAAACATTGGCAGAAGCTTTTTTATGATAAAGAAATAATGTCTAAAGCAAACTTTTGAAAATATGTTTTTTTTCGTTTTCAGTATTTTTCTGATAGATGGACTTATTCTTACAGTTAACATTTACAGACAGTTTTGTATTAAATTTTTTTGACATGATACATTTGTAAACCTTCATGGATTTTTATGAAACTTGGACAGAAGCTAATCTTCAAGACCAAGAATTAGCATATAAAGAAGTTGTTTGTATTAGGTGACACAAATGTCAGTCTTGTTTGTCAAAGAAATTTAAAAATTCAACTTAATATGAGGTTCAATATTGATAAGAATAAAAATTCATGCTTAAATTTTAGGCAATAATAGTTTATTGATATTCAAATCTCCTAAATCCATATAGAACTTAAGCAGGAAATATATCAACACATGTGGATAAAAAATACTATGAAAGTATATATGTTCTTGGTTTACCAATTTTCTCGATTATTTGTAGCTCATTTAAATCACTTTACAAAATACAATAATATTATATACTTGTAATAAACATGAGTTCCAGAGCCTTGAAATCAGTGATTTTATGCAAAGGAAGCCTGAAAATTTATGCATATCTGAAGAGAAAGTTAAGAGTATTTTTTCAGGGGCAGACCCTAATCTTCTTAGGTATACAACTGCCTCTGTGGTCTTGTGATTGCGTACTCACCTCAGTGCTGGAGGTCATTGGTTTCATCCACTAGAGCATCAAACCTTATGTTTGAAAATTGGTATGTTTTGCTTCTCTGCTAAGCATGTAGTATTTAGGAGTAAGAGCAAACACTTGTTGGTATGGAGTAAAAATAAGATTTCTGAGTAGTGTGATGTCTTCCTACAGACTGTAACATGTGAACTAGCACATTTAAAAATCTGGCTTAGAGGAGTGTCAGCCTAGTACAAAGCAGGGTTCATATTCATGTCGCAATATACATGTTTTCGTTTTGAATATGCATTAAATTTGCCACTGGACATTAAACAGCCATTATATAATAGGTATACAAAAGACGATAAATGTATACATTTAGGGAAAAGACCAACGTTTTAGATAACAGAAGGGAAAATATTCAAATATATTTAGACAAATAAGCGTTAAAATTTGTATCTGATTTTAACAACAAATTGATACAAGGCTTCTTGCAAACATGGAGAATAAATTCATTTAAGTCTTAAAGTTAGGAGTAGCAAACACATGCAAACGTCTTATACAAAACAACCATTTAAGAATACTCAAGGTTTTTTTTTTTCCTTTTAGGAAAAGAAAAATAACTCTTTACACGGTTGCATGGTACTTAATCATACTTATTGGAAACGTTAGAAATTGATTCAGTTCTTTCCTATGGCAACACCTTGTGAACTAAGGATGTAGCTGTGTTCGCAACTAAATTCGCTTTCTATGAATTTTTAGAAATATATTGCAATTAGTTCTTTTCACGTCTTTGTCAATATAATGCACACATGAATAGTGACTTTGATTTATATCTTTGAGCTGTTATACTCGAGTATGCATATCATTAGTTTTGTCAATTTTCTTACAGAATGGCCATTGTTATTAAGTGGATGCTTTAATATAGAACAGTGAAGATTGATACTGTGAGACTATTTGAAACTCCCTTTTTTTTTATCTCAAATCTGAATTGACCAAACTATTTAACTTTTGGTACACACAATTTGGTGTAACAAGCAACAAGTTACAACAAATTATGAGATAACATCTTTTCTTTGTCAATTGATAGATGTATGTAAAGCTGTATATTTTTCTCCTTTTAGTATACCAGCATCTTTACCTGTAAAACACTTATTACACAACTCATTTCACAGCGTTTGACCTCAATAGTATGTTGATATCGACATGTTGTATTCTGGCTATTTCAACATTTTAATTTATCTTTTCTGTCTTCGAACATGAAATGAACAAGATATGCTGCTGTTATATGTTGTCTTAGTCATTATTTTCTAATTAAAAAATAGTTAAATTTCAGAAATTATTATAATTTCTCATATAAGAAAAATTAAGAGTACTTGATAGAAGTATTTTTATTTTTATTTCTTCCAAAATCATTGATCCATGAAAACGATGTCAAGGTCAGTTAACCTCCAGGACAGGCATGTACACTTAAACTTGTGCTATGGTTATTTTTTGTATTCTTGTCTTTCATTTTTGCTTATGTGCTTTGTCTATATGCCATTTTGTTTTTCTTTTTTGATATATTTGTTTGTTTTTATAGTTATTAAGATTATAACACAATGTTGACTACTGTACCCCTATTTTTGACATTTTTACCTATTATGTCTGTTTCTTTTGTTCACACATTGTTGTCAATATAATGGATTTTATGAAACTGTCATACAAGTGAGAGGTTTAGATAGCTATAAAACCAGCTTGAATCCATTTTCTACATAAGAAAATGCATGACCAAGTCCGGGTCAAGTGAGCTTTTCTCATCACTATGCGTCCGTTGTCGTCGTTAACTTTTACAAAAATCTTCTCCTCTGAAACCACTGGACAAAGTTAAACCAAACTTGGCCTAAATCATCCTTAGGATATTTAGTTTAAAAATTGTATCCGATGACCCCGCTCACCAATCAAGATTGCCGCCATGGCTAAAAATAGAACATGAGGGTAAAATGCAGTTTTTGGGCTTATATCTCTGAAACTAAAGCATTTAGAGCAAATCTGACTGGGATAAAATGTTCATCAGGTCAAGATCTATCTGCCCTGAAATTTTCAGATGAATCAGACAACCTGTTGTTGGGTAGCTGCCCTGATATTGGTAATTTGACGGAAATTTTTCAGTTTTTGGTTATTATCTTGAATATTATAATAGAAAGAGATAAACTGTAAACAGCAAAACTGTTCAGCAAAGTAAGATCTACAAATAAGTCAAAATGACAAAAATTGTCAATTGACCCCTTAAGGAGTTACTGCCCTTTAAAGTCAAATTTTCACAATTTTTCGTAAATTATTGTTATCTTTTACAAAAATCTTCTCCTCTAAAATTACTAGGCCAAGTTAAACCATACTTGGCCTTAAACATCCTTAGGGTATTTTGTTTATAAAATGTATCCGATGACCGCACCCACCTACCAAGATGGCCACCATGGCTAAAAATTGAACATAGAGGTAAAATGCAGTTTTTGGTTTATATCTCTGAAACTAAAGCATTTAGAGCATATCTAATTGGGTTAAAATGTTCATCAGGTCAACATGACCAAAATTGTCAATTGACCCCTTAAGGAGTTATTGCTCCTTAAAGACAATTTTTCACTATTTTTTGTAATTTTTTACAAAAATTTTCTCCCCTTAATCTACTTGGCCAAATGGAATTAAACTTAGCCACAATTATTATTAGAGTATCTTTATTGAAAATTGTATCCGATGATCCTGCCTTACAACCAACATGACCCCCATTGGTAAAAATAGAACATAGGGGTTTACTTTAGAAGTCTATGGGAAAAATGTAAAAACAATTTCAAATGGTCACAACTTGAAAACTAATTGAAATAATGATAAGGGGTCTTTAGTAACTATTGTAAGACTACAATGGGATGACTTGATTTTTTTCCAGGGGTGCAATTTTTTCAGGGGGGGGGGGGATGCTAATAGTTTCTCCTTGATATGTTCCATTTTCAGAATTATTCAGTGTTACTTTTTCTATAAACCATTATTATATCTTTTCTTTCAGAATACTTATATTGAGGGAATGCCCCCCAGACCCGGCGGGTTAGTCGTGGTCAGGGGAATCCCTACCCAAATTTGTTTTTGAAGGGTGTTCCATAAAAACATTTAAAGGCATTTTCAGCATTATACAGGCCCTGGGTGAAATAAATTTTGGAGCGGAGGAAAGGAAATATTTTATTTTTTGTTAATTATCTTGAATATCATTTTAGATTGAGATATACTGTAAACAGCAAAAATATCAAGCAAAGTAGGATTTACAAATAAGTTAACATGACCAGTTGGCAATTGACATCTTATTGGAGTTATTGTCCTTTGAAGCTATTTTCCGCAATTTATTGGTAATTTTGTAAATCTTTTCAAAAATCTGCTTTTAATTTAACTACTGGGCCAAATTAAATCAAACTTGGCCTCAATCATTATTAGCGTATCTATATGACACGATTTCTAAAACCACAGTAGATACAGGTGAGCGACACAGGCTCTTGAGAGCCTCTAGTTTGTTATTTTACTTTTTTCCCAATCATCATGTGCACCAAACATTGTTGATCTATTGCTAATAGTAAATGAGAAAGTTACCTAATTACGAAAACCATGTGCATCAACGCTCCTTGAAATGAGGGTAATATTAGATGAAGTCTGTCTTTTCTGAACTGTTGCACTATATGTAACTCCTCTAAGAAACTGGATACTATTTTAGTCAAGGACACGTATTAAGTAAGATACTTTGGTATAACAGATTTTAGAAATGCTTCTTCAGTATTTCTTATAAGAGAACCATATATTTCTTTGCTCTCAGAGACTAGTATTTCATTGTATTGCATAATATGATAATTTGAAGAATACTTTGATAAATATTTTACATCTAAACTGTTTAAAAAAACTACTCTTATGGTCGAGGCACTTACAGTCATTGACTAATGATAATCGATATTTCATTTATTTAGATAAAATAACACTTAAAAATTTGGTATGGTATGTCTGAAGCGCTTTTCTGATGTACCTTCATCAGGAATGTTAAACCCCAAAATTTGAAAGCCAAGGATGTATTATTTCTCAAATACCTCGTTAGCTATATGACCAAAAGGGATTTAATAAGAATAGACAAACCATTTGTAAATCAACATTGCCAGTGGGGGATTGTAACCTTAGTTTTCTTATCATTTCTAAATTATCAACTGAGAATTTAAGAAAAATATGTCAAAAAAGAGGGAGGTGCACATGCTCTTGTTATGGTCGTGTTTTTTTTTTTTTTTTTTTTTTTTTGCTCTTTCTAAAATTGAAACTAGGATGTAAATTTCATCTTTGGTTTGGAGGATCCAGTTATATCTTCTTGGAACTCAATTTAAATTTTAGTGATGAGTGACCTTTGAAAAAATGAAATAAGCAATTGGAATTTAGTGTATTGGACCCTAGATTCTCTTTCATCTGAGTTCTACTCAGTATACAGATTCTTTGTTCCAACTCAATATAATCATCTGATCTTTTTATAAACTACTACAGTATTTTGTTTCTTGTTCAAATGGTAGAGAAATAAGTCTGCCAACACTAAATTTTATTCTGACATGTATTTTTATTGGTATGAATAAATTTTCATAATTCGATCATGTTCCAGTCGACCAGTGTCGACAACACATAGATAGCCAAGTTCGTCGATGTCCATTTGGAGAGTACCGTCGACGCCATCTCTTTTTTTGTCTAATAATGTTTGTTGAAAGATGCCATCTTCTGATAATATATCGATTTTATCATTTCTGTAGTCGGCAACAAAAATGTTACCATAATTATCTGTTGCTATAGCTTCAAACTCTGCGTCTTTTCTTTGGAAAACATTGAGGACTATTCCACTTTTATTGGTGACAACAACGATTTGCTTAGACCACGACATAGCAAGATTGAGGTTCTTCTTAGTTTGTTTCATCCTAAAATGTGTTCCATAAAACATATTCTGCACAGGTAATTTGTTGTTAGGATCTTCAATTCTAATTTTATTTTGAATCCCGTCTTGATCTGATACCTCATATATCAGATTATCGTCTGTATTATAAACTAGCAAGTTTTCATTGTGAATTATAGAACCTGGCAACCCATTTTCAAATGGAACCTTAAAGCATTCCTCATTATTTGTACTACTTTTTTTCATTGCACATTGTTCAGTCCAAAACAAAAGTTCATTTCGTGAATTTTTAAAAACTTGGTTAATGTTAGCCGGGAGAGTGATACTTGAGCATAGTTTTCCACCGTACATGTACGTAGAAAGCACACTTTTTGTCAATATCCAGATTCTATCATTTACAGCCGGAAGCATACCATTAACATTTTTGGGGAGCTCGAAGCTAAACACCTTTAAGTTGTTTGTTTTAGACGATATTGCTGGAATTGGCAAAGACGGGTATACGGGCTTTATGAAATTTTCTATTGAATTTGAGGTCACTTTTCCGAACAACTCTTCTATCTTAGCTTCATTACATTCTCCCCATTCGTATCTTATATTGTGAAACGGTTTTAAGGCGTTTTCAGGTTTCTTAAGGACGTTATCGAGATGTTTACCAATAGCAGGGAACTCTCTCCAAAACTTTTTATCTGGAGACTTGTTAACGATATCGTCTGTAGTTTTAATTAGACCAGCTAGTGACAATTGCTCAGTCTCTATTTCCGTCAAATAAATTGCAAGAACTTTCAAATCTTTTTTCTTAATGTTGTCTATAATATCCAAATTTTTGCTTGTTAGAATGTCGATTGTATCACATAGTATGGACTTCAAACATTCGGCATGGGCGGTCACATTAGTTTTCACTATATGGCAGTGTTTGTAGTACCTATTTTCTTCATGTTTAATTAATTCCACCACATTTCCAAGAACTGAAATCCTAGATTTTAAGCTTGCAGTCCTAGTCAATAACATCTTTTTCTTAGACTGAATTAACATTGCTAAATTTTGAACATCGTGTCGACGGTGTGATTTCTCTGAACAATCAACACATAACCAAAGATTGCATGGTTTACAAAACAATGTGGTATCTTTTTTGTGTTCTTTGCATTCTTCACTGACATCTTCCAGACGTTTGTCTATATTTTGTTCTAATTTCAATTGTTCCAATGGATCAATAACATGATTCTTTGACGATTTCAATTTCCCATGATAATCACGACAATTCAAACATAGATAAAACGTGCAATCTAAGCATTTTGCCACTGCAGTGTTCTCATCTGTGCATAATCCACAAATATTCAATGGAATATGTTCTTCATTCGACTGTTTGAGTTGAAAAGGATAAGATTGAAGACTGTTCACACTGTTTTTCGGTAAACATGTTTTCATTCTACACAACGGACACGTTATATTTTTGTCATAAACTTCAAGTTTTGCGAGGCATGGTGTGCAAAAAGTGTGATAACAGCTCAATAGCCGTGGTTCTGTGTAAAAAGACAGACATATTCTACACTTCGAGTCACTTTCTATAGTTTTCATATCCATCTCCGCCATATTTGTAATGGTGTAATAGTTGAAAACCAATCGATTTACATCGTATGTTTCCACTGCTGTTAGACATTAACATCCGAGAAGAACCGATCGCTTGACTTCTAAATCAGAACAAGGAAGTACTTTATGTTTGATCAGGTGGAAAGCAGGTCACGATTTCAGCTATATTCTACAACAAAAATATAGTCACGTGAGGGTGATCATTAAATTAAATTACGACCGAGGCAAACATCAGCTTTTGTGTTCTAAATGTTTATAAACCCCTCACTCGTAAACTATAAGTTCTTCTTCCTGAATTGTATCGCCGAACTTGAAGTTTGCATTGAAATTGTCAAATAGCTGTGATTCCTTGTGAGGATGATTTGCTCTACTGTTTTTGTCATTTCGGTTATATCAGCTCGTCAACGTTTGTATTCGGTTTTGGATTTTTTCAAATCCTTTTAGTCTGAATGACACGCAGTGAAAATGTATTCGTTTATTAAGGTCTTTCCACTCCGTTAGGAAAGACCTTATTGTTTTTCTAATGTTTTTTTTTTTTCTTTTTTTTTTTTTTTTTTTTTTTCTTTTTTTTTTTTTTTTTTTTTTTTTCTTTTTTTTCTTCCAACATTTTTTTGGGAATGCCCTCCCCCAGTTTCTGTTAAAGTTATCAAGACCAAATATGGACCATCGATAGACATCATCATGAAGTATTACCACATGACCCTGTTAAGGATTTCATCATCCCCTGTAGAAGTTATCCCCCTTTTATTGGATTTTTTCAACATGGCCCCCCTTCGTTGTTTTTAAAGATATCATGACCTTATTTTGACAATAGGTTGATCTCATCATGATGTACTACCATATGAGGCTGCATAGGATTTCATCATCCCCTATGCGAGTTATATCCCCTTAAAGCGATTTCTTTCCTTTGCATTTTTCTCAAAAAGTATTAGGGATAGAATCGATTTGAAAACGGCAACATATACAGGAACAGATGGCAATGTTAATGAACATATAAAATAATTTTGTTATTGACCCTTATAAGGAGTTAATTCTCTTAAAAAAATATACACAATTTTTGAAAAATTGCATTTCGAGAACCGTAAGTCGTAGAGACTTGGGACCTACACCAATAATCTTAAGTTCATGTGACCTTCAATTTGCACCCAAGGTCAAAGGTCACAGAGTGCAAAAAAAATTTACGCTGCAATTTCAAGCTTGCATATTAAGAAAACGATAAGAGTTTGCTGTATACACACTGTGCATAAAATGTTTCTCTCGACGAGCTCTACATTTTATACATTAAGCTCAAAAATGTCCGACCGTCTGTTCAAAAGTTACATTAACATAATTCTTAAAACTATAGTAACATATGTATATCTTTTGAAAGGTAACAGATATCAACCTACTATATACTGCAAAGATGATCAGTAATTCAAGGCCTTCAATTTGAGGTCAATGTCCGGTCATGATGAAATTTAACCTTGACCTTCAGAGTGTACTATGACCTTGACCTTGTGACATTTGAAAGGTCAAGTGGTCTTGAGTTGAATGGTGGTAGTCCCATGTCTCTACGACTTCCGGTTCTCAAGTTTGATATTGCATCATATATTTGATAATTCATTGTGACCTTGATGAACTTTGGAATTGTCCAATTTTTTTCTAAAATGTTGTCCTTTTACTGTAGATCATTTTTCTTTTAACAAATTTGAGATACCTGTTGTCGTTTAAGAGATAATGCACTTTGAAATTTTGCGAGCGGAGGCATGTATTTCTGAATCAACAACAGGTAACCACCTGAAATTATAAGAAATTGAAGAGTTTAACATGGTTATGTGTTTGACATAATACCAAAAACATTCAATGAAAAAAAAAAACAAAAAATCAATTTGAAATTTTCATGTTTTGCATTGACTTTGTAAGTTTCATAGGTTCTATTTATATAATTGATATTGCATCATTTTTGGCACTTTGCCAAATGGGGTCATTTGATATATCAAATTGACGGTCTTAACGAGCTCTACTCAAAAATGAAAATGTAAAACCCCCTTTTCATCCCAGGGGGAAGGGTGGGGTCATTTAGTGCAAAAAATTAAAACTTCTCAGATGGTTAGGTTGTCGCATATCAAATGAAAGTCCATAAAGCGTACATTTCAAATATCAAATTGACGTCCCCAAAAAATTGGTTGGGTGGGGTCATTGAGTGCAAAAAAAAAATTTTCTTTTAAGGTAAGGTTGTTGTATTTCAAATGAAAGCTCGTAACGTGTACATTTCAAATATCAGATTCCTGTCCTCCAAAAATAAGTTGGATGGGGTTATTAAGTGCAGAAATCAAACTTTCTAGAACATGGCGTTGTTGCATATCAAATGAAAGATAATCAAGTCTAGATTACATATATCATACTTCCGATATCAAAAATGTAGGCGGATGGGGTCATTAAGTGTAAAAAGTGAAAATTTTTAGAAGGTATGCTTGTCGTATATCAAATGAAAGGTCTTAAAGAGTACATTACAAAAACATCACTTTTGCAGGAAAGACCTTTCAATTGTTTTACAAACAATTGAGATACTAGTTGTTTAATATATTACTACATAATAACGCACTGATAAAATTCACAAGAGACTGCTACAAAAAGGGTATGCAAAGCATACAATAAACAATCTTTTTTTTAATTATTAATCAACAATTGACCTGTCAACTTTTCTTTAATTCTAGAGTCACTAAGGAGTCTTTTGCAGACGAAACGCACGTCTGGCGTATAAAATTTTAATCCTGGTATCAAGGATAAGTTTATTTCTAGACTAGTAGATTAGTTTTTGGGATACGATTGCTGTCAAGCAATCTGTAGACTTTTACTATTGACTCCTTTCCAAGGCTCTCACGTCAACCATTTTGTGCTTTACATTAAGGAACAACTCAGATTCTTAAGAATGTTCTATTTTAAAGAGTAAAACAAACACACAGATTGCATTTTAACAACTTTCCGTTAATTTTCTTCTCATAATCCTTATGTTTTGATATCTCCCTTTTGTATTTGCGTTTATTTTACAATATGGAAAATCAGAATTCAGCAGTATCTATATTTAGGGTTTTATATATTTAGCATTACGTCAAAGGGGGGAATTCCGCTGTTTTGTTGAAATGCGAGAGTGGTTCCGAATAAAACCATTTCATGAAGTGGTGTTGTTTCTATTATGTTACCTTTATGAAACTTTGATATTGAACTTCCATAAAGAAATGGAGAACCACAATCAAGTACGTATAACTAACATATAATATACGTCCTTGCAACAATTGACCCCAATCAAAACATAATTCTAACGGTATGTTTATGTGATTAAGCGCATGCGTAGTTTTCTTTACCTCGAGGGGTATCAGACTAAATAGTTGCTCTGGGTTACCCACTCCATTGATTGATCTGCAACTCCAGAAATCTTTTCAGTGTCTTTATCTGCTATTTAGGGTTAATTTTTGTTGCATGATTTTAAATAAATGCAACATTTAAATCGAAAAAAATGTAGTCAACAGCATAATGGTAGAAAAGGGGCGAAAGATACCAAAGGGACATTCAAACTCATAAGTCGAAAATAAACTGACAACGCCATGACTAAAAAAGAAAAAGACAAACAGACAAACAATAGGACACAAAACACAACATAGAAAACCAAAGACTGAGCAACACGAACCCCACCAAAAACTGGGGGTGATCTCGGGTGCTCCGGAAGGGTAAGCAGATCCTGCTCCACATGTGGCTCCCGTCGTGTTGCTCATGTTAGTACAAACCCTGTAATAAGTATAATTCGGTAGGTCACATTCAAGAAAAGGGGACGGGATTGTAGTTACGACATTAGGAACATATCCGCTATCATTTGTGAAACGGATATTCCTTAACTGTCAACCAACTCGTGATTGCGTCCGTAAAATTTACGAAGGGATGATTTCAACCTTATAAATTGGAACTCTTGGTTTAATAGCTCCTTGTGAGCAGCAACCCTCTATCAAGGAAATCATGACAGGAAATACAAGCCCTGGAATATCGTATCAACTGGGAGATATATACTCCATATGCAGGCGCTAATGGAATGTTGCTACAGAAAGTTCACAATTGGGAAGCTGAAATCATCTGTTTTGTCATTAGGTTTTGTTTTCAACCGACCCCCATTGTCAATTTCTAGATGTAAGTCAAGATATGAGACAGACTAAACTGTATCTGTTGTATCCTTTATCTCAAGTTCGATGGGATAGATGCATTCAACATAATCACCAAATTTTGAATTATTCAGTGAGAGAACATCATCTATGTAGCGGAAAGTAAAGTTAAAGGATACTGTTAACTTCTTTTCTTTCTTCCTAAGAAGTTCCTGTATGAAGTCAGCCTCATATGAATAAAGGAAAAAGTTGGCAATAAGAGGGACACAGTTGGTTCCCATGGGAATGCCGATTGTTGAAAAACACGTCCTCCAAACGTAACAAATATGTTGTCAATCAAGAAATCAAGCATCATAATAATGTCAGTTTCAGAGAATTTCTTGTTAGAATCAGTGTGATTTTTTACAAAGTAGGATTTATCCCGCCCGAAGACCAGATACTTGTATCTACGTTGGCCATTCTTTTTTATGAAACAAAGCGGGACCAACTCTTTCAATTTGTCTTTTAGTTTGGAATGGGGAATACTTGTGTAAAGTGTAGAAAAGTCAAATGTTTTAATACTATTGCAAGATGAAAGAGTCTTAGATTGTATGTACTCTAAAAGATCTTTGGAATTTTTTAGTATCCACATCTGATTCACGCCACCTCTTGAATAGGTAGTTTCACAATAACTTTGAAGCCCGGCTTTGATTGCTGATAAAATTGATGTTAATAATATAGAAAGAGGTTTCGTGGAGCACTTGGAAGACCCAGCAATATACCGTTGTTTGTAAGGACACTTGTGTAGTTTAGGTATCAAATACAGTGAAGGAACCGATCCAGATATTTCGGGCCTTTGGATAACAAATTTCGCAGAGAAGTGTTATTGACAATGTTTAGGTCACCAGTAATAACGTGGCCAGCCGGATTATATATGAATGGGGAACTAGCACAGGTGCAATCAGGAGGTTTAGACTTGAAGTCGTCAATATTGAGATCCTGCAAC